GGTGGCGGCCCAGTGGGCTCCTGCACCAGCCCATGTACCTGCTCATCGCCCTGCTGCTGGCCGTCAACACCTGTGCCGCCACCGCCGTGCTGCCCCCCATGCTGTTCAGCTTCTCCGCCCGCTTCAACCGCGTCTCCCTGGCGCGCTGCCTGGCCCAGATGTTCTGCATCTACTTCCTCATCGCCTTCGACTGCGGCATCCTCCTGGTCATGGCCCTGGACCGCTACGTTGCCATCTGCAACCCACTCCGCTACCCAGAGGTAGTGACCGGCCGGCTGCTGGCCTGCCTGGTGGGGGCGGCGGCGGCCAGGAGCACGGGTATTGTGGCTCCGGTGGTGGGGCTGGCCTCCCGGGTACGCTTCTGCCGCTCGGACGTGATCCACCACTTCGCCTGTGAGCACATGGCCCTGATGAAGCTCTCCTGCGGGGACATCTCCCTGAACAAGACCGTGGGGCTCACTGTCCGCATCTTCAACCGAGTCCTGGACATGCTGCTGCTCGGCGCCTCCTACTCCCGCATCGCCCACGCCGCGTTCCGCCTTTCGTCGGGCAGGGCACGCGCCAAGGCCCTGGACACCTGTGGCTCCCACCTGCTGGTCATCTTCACCGTCTACTCCTCCACCATGTCCTCGTCCATCGTCTACCGCGTGGCCCGCACGGCCTCCCAGGACGTGCACAACCTGCTCAGCGCCTTCTACCTCCTGCTCCCGTGTCTGATCAACCCCATCATCTACGGGGCCAGGACCAAGGAAATCCGGCAGCACCTGGGGCTTCTGCTCCGAAGGGCACCGCTGCGGGTCCCCGTGGGGAAGGCCCAGTCCCTGCCCTCACACAGGGAGCTTCCTGCCTGATTCTCTAGAACTTACTATAGATCCTGTAATTACTTTGTCAAGCGGGTAAATAAATGTGCAGGTGAGTCCTCCCTGCTGTACTTTGGCTATCTGCATTCATCTTTCTTTCATCCATTTTCTGAAAAATAGCTACTCATCCAGAGTTGCACAGTAACCAACTGCAAAGCCAGCTCTGTCTCTGTCTTCTAAATTTTCTCTTCTTTCTTTCTTTTTCTTCCTTCCTTCCTTCCTTCCTTCCTTCCTTCCTTCCTTCCTTCCTTCCTTTCTTTCTTTTTAATATAATATATTTTATTGATTTTTATACAGAGAGAAAGGGAGAGAGACAGAGAGAAACAACGAGAGAGAGTCATTGATCAGCTGCCTCTTGCACACCCCCTACTGGGGATATGCCCACAATCAAGGTACATGCCCTTGACCGGAATCGAACCCAGGGCCCTTCAGTCCCCAAGCCGACGCTCTATCCATTGAGCCAAACCGGTCCAGGCTCTCCTCTTCTTTCTGTATGTGATTTTAACCGATTCATTCTCTTATCCGTTCATCAAACATGTATTATACACATATCATGCTTAACCCCATAATTGCAAAGAAAGGAGAAATAAGATCTCTACCCTGAAGGAGGGTCCCAACCTAGCAAGCTATAAAGGCATTGTGTTTACAATGACAGCTTTATGTACAAAAGTCTGTGAGAACATCGAGGAGGGGGGACAGTCACTAACAGAACACTTCGCAGAGGGTGAATCTGAGCTGTGTTTGAAGGATAAGATAAAGTGTTCACTGGAAGGGAAGGAGATATGGAGAAAAGACATTGAGACAAAAGGAACAGCATGGCAGTAAGGGAGTGATACAGAAATTGGTACCAGGAGTGGGTGCTGTATAATAAAAATCTAAAATATGTGGCATTGGCTTTGAGATTGATCTGGTCACCTAGCCTGTCTTTAGCAAAGAATCCTGGTAGGTCAGCCAGAGCCCCTATTGCTGATGTAATTTCCCATCCATTCACCCCTCCACTGCTCCTTGGCTAAAAATTCCCCTTGCCACACTGTATTTGGAGTTGAGTCCAGTTCTGTACCGAGGTCTCTTTTCCCTGATTGCAACAGTCCTAATAAAATTTGTCTCCACCACTTTAACTACTGTCCAGCTCGGCTGTAAACAGGAGAACATGCTCGGGCTAGCCAGCTGGAGGAACAAAGGATGCATTTAGCAGAGCTGAGCTGCCCCAGCCATCCCACAGATGCTCACTAGATAAGCTGATAGCCAGCCAGCCCTTCAACACGTGAGGAAGCCCAAGCGAAATCAGCAGAGACACCGAGCTAACCCCCCGGGTGTGTGAATAAATGCCCACAATAGTGCAAACTGGGTTTCTGTGTCTGTCCGCTATTGCAGCAATTTTGTAAAAGGAGGCAGCTGACAAAATGACTAAACAATGATTTATACACAGTATGTCTACCATAAGTTTTCTTCCTTTACCACATTGTTTTAATATGTTGGATAAGTGTATTTTTAACTGCTTAACGATGAGTTCTATAAGGGTAGAAACTGTATCTTAAAGCTATTAGATGAAGGTAGTGAGAAAATATTCTTTTAAGAAAACACATGGACAAGTGCTTGAAGGCAGAAGGTACAAACAGTGAGGGAATAGTGCCCATTTCAATAAATACCACTCTTCAGGATGGAGAGGGAACTAACCAGAGCCTCAGTCTGACATTCCAAACAAGGGGGTGGGTGTGCACTGTGGGAATTGAGGCTGTCAAGCCCCCTCCCAGCTTCAGTCACCCCACTTTTTCTACCAGGAACTTCTCCCCCTACCTCACCTTGCTATTTATTGCTGTAATTTATTGACCTCAGACATGCTCATAACAGACCTCACTTGGGACAGGGAGGATCTCCAGGGCACCCCCCCCCCCCACTTGGCGGGGCCCTGTGGGGCCAGGTGCTGAGGGGAGCCTCTCTGTACCCACCCATCACTTGCTATCTCCCTCCCCCCTTGGGGGACCCCAGGTTGGGTACTGGCCCATTCATAAATACCTCGAGGGGGAGGGAGAGGGATGGGGTTATAGCTGTTTTGTTTAATTGGAACTGGAAGAGGGATCATGTCCTTATGTTACGTCCTTCCCAGAAAGGAGGAGGGACACCGTGATCGCATTCCTGTACTGGCCACCACCGCTGTCAGTCATCGCACTGAGTTCACTTCCCTCGAGAGTTTGGATAAATTCAGGTCAGAGCTGCAAGTTCGCAGCCCTCACGTGTCACAGAAAAGCAATTCACCTACGACTAATCTCTCGATTCAGAAGTGTGCAGTCTTAATGTACAGTGATGAGAAACTGTTATTTTGTGATCTTTTCATTAAAAGCTTGATTGAAAACTAAAAAAATAAATAAAAACAAATACCATTCTTCAGTCAAAGGCATCAGGGGTTCTCAGGGAAAGGGCTGGTTCTAGGGCTGGGATATAAAAAACACAAAATGATCCTGGATAACCGTATAGTGCCACAAAGCAAGCAAGTGCTCAAAAAATGATGGGGCCAAGTCAAAAGGACAGCAAGACCCATCTGAAGGGGTTTCTAGTAGCCCGCTGAGGGAAAATTTGAACAAAATAAAGATAATAATAGATGATAACCTTTAGAATACAAGTCCATACTGATTTAGACGGATGGATAGAGATGGACACATGATAAGGGAAAGCTCTTCCTTACAATAAAATTCCAGATAATAAATGCCGAAGGAATAGAGGTAGAAATCCCAATTTGCCAAACATCACAGAAATAAACATTTCAAGCAAGAATTTATGCTAACATTAGTGGGCAAAATTATGATGAGAAACAAGATATATATAGTTTCAAAGTATTCCCTCGCAAGCACTTATTAATTACTAAAGGAAAATAGTAATTTTACAGTGGAGAAATCTGGATGTCTCTTAAGCAAATGACAAGCATCCCCAGCAGTGGCATAAAGTGTTATCACAGGTCTTCTGAAATGAGGTACCGAGAAGGGCACAATGTCATTTCTGTGGCATTCTTGCAAAAAAACCCAAAAACAACAACAAAAAAATCCCTGCATAAATTGAATTTAATCAAGAAACATGAAATCGACCCAAAATGAGGGGCGCTCTAGAAAACAACTTGCTGGTACATTCTTTCAAAGTGGCAAGTTGCTGAGAGACAGAAAAAGCTGAAGAACTGCTCCAAACAAAAGGGCGACACAAAAACCAAATGCAAACATGCAGTCCTGGATTGGATCCTGGGTCAGAAAAGGGACGTTAGTTAGTTGACTATTTGCCAGAAACTGAACATCTATAAATTACAATAGTAGTGTGTTGAAATTAATTTCCTGACTTTGATCATTGCACTGTGGTTACATAAGATGCTAACATTGGTAAATCTGGGTGAAGTGTGCACAGGAATTTTTCATACTTTTGTTTTTTACGTTGGAAATTATTTCAAAATTAAAAGTTAAAAAATGTTAAAAGAGTAGGTGAAACTATTCTCTGGAAATTGGGGAAATGTTCAGTTACTAGCAAGAAGGAAGATGAGGCCCTAACTGGTTTGGCTCAGTGGATAGGTAGGCCTGCGGACTGAAGCGTCCCAGGTTCGATGCTGGTCAAGGGCATGTACCTTGGTTGCAGGCACATCCCCAGTCGGGGTGTGCAGGAGGCAGCTGATCAATATTTCTAACTCCCTGACCCTCTTCCTTCCTCGCTGTAAAAAATTTAAAAAAAAAAAAAATTTTTTTTTTAAAGAAGGAAGATGAGGAAGAGAAAATAGCAAAAGTGTGCATATTAAAAAAAAAAAAAAAAGTGTGCATATTTTATGTGACCCGACCTCCCTCTAAATCCCCTCAGAGAAGGCTACAAAAACCACAAAGCCACACAGAAAACTAAGAGAGCAGCAAGCAAAAGGGCAAAGATTGTACTCATCCAGAGAAACTGGCTGGAACGGTGGTGAGGGCTGTTTTATCACACCTCAGGAGAGGCTATGTGCGTGAAATGATATATGGTATGCATTACATTTGGTAACTATGTAAATGTTAAAGAAAGGCACATCTCGATGTAAAGTCCAAACCATAAAGCTTTACACGATCATAAAGGACTGTATCTCCATGACAATGGGACATTGAGTCTTTTAGAGAACATAAGCATTGATCTTTTTGAAAGGAAAGAATGAAAAATTTCTGACAAAAAACAAGCTGGAAAAAAAAGAAACAAGGACATGACCAAAAGGCTGATGCCAAAGGTGCCTTAATATACACCTGAACTGTCTATGGAACACAAATTTTAAACCCTAAGACCTTTAAGCAGCACTGAGAGCAAACATCCTAACAGCTTCCTCCAGAATTGGCTGATGTCCAGCCATAAAGTTAACAGTTGAAGTCATGACACCTTTAACTCTTCTACTGTCTCAGACCTTAGATAACAACCCCCCCCCCCCCGAAAGAAATTCTTATACATGCTACAACATGTATAAACTTTGAAAAGCTACTAAGTGAAATAAGTCAGATAGAATGACCACTATCCACATAAAGGTCCCGTCAGCACTTCTCATGGGCTAAGACACAATTTTGCAGCAAACCTGTTTTGTAGCAAAATTGAAGTCAACCGAAAAAAGAAGTGCCAAGTGGGGAATGAAACTCTACTTAATTATCCTTATTCTAAAACTTTTACTGATTCCAAATATATCAATTTTTTAAAAGTAATTCCTCTATTACTTTATAGAGAGAAACAATACTTTAAATCAAGTGATCCTTTGGCTACAGAAAGGTTCAGCAAAGGCTTACCACTTCAAGCAAACCTATTACACCTATCTATGCTCAAGAAGTAGTCTGGAGGGCAGAAAGCTGTGGGCCGCACCCAGACCCGGGCCTGGGGTCGAAGGCGGGAGCGGAGGTCAGGTCAGCACAGGTGGCGGGAGCTGGGATGTAACTCCAGAGCTGGTCGGAGTTTGGGTGGTGGGCTGGGAGGCCTTTTGTTTTTTTGTGTGTTTTTAAAAAATATATTTTTTATTGATTTTTTACAGAGAGGAAGGGAGAGAGATAGAGAGCCAGAAACGTCGATGAGAGAAACATCGACCAGCTGCCTCTTGCACACCCCCTACCATGGATGTGCCCACAACAAGGTACATGCCCTTGACCGGAATCAAACCTGGGACCCTTCAGTCCACAGACCGACGCTCTACCGCTGAGCCAAATCGGTTTCGGCATGGGAGGCCTTTTGAACAAGGGTGTTGGTGGTTGAGGGGATCTATGACAGTGATCTTGAATGGGTGCTGGTGTTGGAAGGAGTATGAGTGCTATGTTGAACATGAAGAAATGCTGGGGAGGGCGATCATTGAGCGAGGCATCCCTGGGCAAGATTCTTGGGTGGTTCCGATCTTTGAAATGCGAGTCCAAAAAAAAAAAAGCATGATCCTGGAAGGTGGAGCTGTCTAAAGAATGAGTCTTTGGGAAGTGAGGTGGTACTGGGCAAGAACGGTTTGGGTTCTTGGAGGATGGAGAAGGGTACGCCCGGGCAAAGTTCCTGGGGTCTGAAGGGAGTATGGGAGCTCTAGGATGGGGAACTTAAGGAAGTCCGGAACAGGACGGGGGTGGGAGTTTTGGGAGGTGTGCCCTGAACAGGACGGGGGTGGGAGTTTTGGGAGGTGTGCCCTGTCTTAAAGGGGTAGGGGTGCTCTGGGGCAGGATCATGGGGAGAGGATAAAGGGTCTGGGAGGAGGAGTCTTTCAACATAAGAAGAAAAAAAAAAGTAGTTTATTAATAGCTATTGAAGTGCTGGTCTCTTCTTTCCTTAGGACCCACACATCATACACTCATCTCTATTCTCCAAAGAGCACACCATGGCTGCTGTGTTCCTCTCCTTCTCTTCTTCCTCTTTTGATGCCTTTTCCTTATCTTTCAGCTTCTCTTTGTTTAGAGTGAACTGGATCGGGTTGGCTGCTGGTCTTGTCCTTAAATAATACATCCCAGTCTTCAAACCCTACAAGGGAAGTAAATACAACTATTAGGAGAAACTGTGAGAACACTAGACATTCAAGACCAATGTCTAAATCACATTTCCATTAACCATGTCAAATTGTTTTCTAAACTTAAAATTCTACCTCCTATAGAAAGCCCTCTCAAAAATGCTGACTCCATTTGAAGCCAACAGATTCAAGGTTTCCTAGATGGCAATATTTAACAGGTAGCAGGAATATAAAACTCAATTCCAAAATATCCCAAGTTGGCAGTAAGTCCTCCTCAATGTGCTTCACCAACCTGCTTCCAGCCGTAGAAGTGCATACTGGTGAGTTTGCCATAGTTAGGCTCAGCAATATGGATGTTCAGAGACTGGCTTTGGTCAATGAAAGCTCCTCTCTCGGCTGCCATCTTGAGAACGGTTTTCTGAGAGATTTCCCAGACCGTTTTATAAAGTTGCTTCAAGTCATCAGGAATTTCTGGTATGCTCTAAAGGGAAACCAAATGTTTATTGTACTCCAGTTGATGAAAGCAGTATGATTAACAGAATGACCCAAGGATCTGGCCGCCTACTTCCTGCCAGATCTGACGCTACCATTCAGTATAATACAATATGATCCTTATCAAGTTTCCTAAGACGGCTGGCCTCTGGTTTAGAAAGTCCAACAACATCCCATCTAACCAGCAAAATATCAGTCTAGTGGTAGTGATTTAAGATCCATCTTTCACTTAGTTTATGGCCTAAACATTCACTGTATTTAATTGGTTTATGGTCTAAACAATCATTATGCAAGAGATAATAAAGGGAGAAAAGTCACAGCTAAAGAGCAATAAATGACCCTTGAGCTTTGAAGAAAACACAAATACTGAGAACTATACCACTCAGGGGCAAGATCAGAGAAGCAAAGAAACAAAGCAGAGAAGCAATAAAACAAATTTTATTTTAATTTATGTTAAAATAAATTAGGACGCCACAAACTCCATTTGGAGCTAACAGATTTAAGGTTTTCTTAGGTCCAAGGTTAACTTGCAAACATGCAGACTGGCTAATACTACTTTTGTATAAAAAAATATGAAATGTTACAGGAATCTTTATCTGTGTTGTCAATTAAACTAATGTTTAGTCACAAACCTCTATCTACAAATAAATGTTTCTTGAGTCTCAGCTGCAAATATTTTATTGTTACACTATTTGTAGTTGTCTTTTGAACTATTAGTCCTCTATCTCCACCATACTTTTAAGTAAGTTTGACTCTAATTTCAGACTTTGTCAGTGATCCCCAAACGTTGATGCACATTGTCCTTAAAAAATACTGATGCCTGTACATGCATATAAGAACAACCAATGGACATAAAACTCTGGGGAGGGAGGGTATGTACGGGAGGGAGGGAGGGGGGCAAAAAAAAAAAATCAATAAAATATATTTTAAAAAATAAATAAACAAATTAAAAAAAAAATACTGGTGCCTGGATCCTATTCAAAGACATTCTCATGGTATGGGGTGCAACCTAAGCTTCAGAATTTTAAAAGCTCCCCAATTGATTCTAATGTACAGAGAAGTTGGGAACCTCTGCTTTATATTATTGCACAAACAAAAACGGTAAGGCCAGGACTAGTTGTGTGAAGATGTATATAATCCTAGCACAATAGTACAGAGGTGAACAGAGTTACGTAAGTCTGTATAACCACAAGCCTATGACCAAACTGGTAGACATTTTTCTCTCCACTGCCTGGAGTAAGTGAGAAGGTTCCAATGCCCAACTTAATTCACTTCCCCCCCCGATTCTGTACCTGGATAGAGCCATTGCAAGCAATAATCTGATTTTTCATCTCTTCATTCCATAAGCCCCTCTCAGTAAGATCTTTCAGTAAATGAGGATTTACAATCTGAATGGAAAAGAACAAAAGATGTAAAGGAATAAATAACAGGGCCTAAACAGGGTCACGGTCTAAAGCTTGAAGTAAATAAAATCATTAAAGAATTAATTAACATTAACTTGGTAACTTCTATTTTTCATAAAACTGAAAGGGCCCGTAGCATTATCTGACAGTTATATTCCTTTAAAATCTTGATTTCCTTCTTATTCCAGAAACATAATATATGGTATTTGCAACAGTGAAAAAAACTAATGTTGCCTAAGCTGGGTAAATTTATGTGGATTGAGTCTTTTTTTCCTATATAAGGAAACAATTATTTACAGGAAAAAAAAATAGAAATCCTATGTATTCACCCCAAACTTTACAAAAAATTTATGCCATATCAGCAAATTCAAATAAAAATCTTTTAAATTAGTGGTTCTCAACCCTAGCCACACATCAGAACTACCTGGGAACCTTAAAAATAAAAAACATTGGTCCCACCCACCAAAAATTTTCATTTATAACCAAAGCTGAAAACCACTGTCTTAACGCCTTAATGCTTTTACATATATTTTAAGTATCACCAATTTAAACTGATCTTGTAGTATAAATCACTATGATTACAGAATAGTTAAATATCACGTGAACTCTAAGATCAACAAGTTACTTTTATACAATACTTTCAACCCTCAATCACTCATACTTTTGGCAGATGTTTATTAAATGTCTACTATGTGCTGAAATAACAGAACAATACTATGGACAAAGATGATCCACTTTATCAAAACTTTGCCCCCATACTAAGAAAAATAGGCATACTAAATATGAGTTAGCATTTACTCCCAACATCAGGCTTTTGAAAGTTTTTTTGTAGGTCTAGTTGTGATCTTCTCACCTGAAATTCTCCTGACAAGACTCTACGAGTGTAGATGTTGCTGGTATAAGGCTCAATGGACTCATTATTCCCCAGAATCTGAGCAGTGGAAGCAGTAGGCATTGGGGCAATAAGTAAACTGTTTCTTATCCCATACCTAAAGAAAGGAGATTATTAGGTGCTAATCCTAAACTACAGTCTGCAGGAAGGTAGCTACTTTAAGTCATGGTAATAAAAGCACCTACTATGAGTAACATAATACATAACATTGGACTTACATATGGATTTTTTATTTTAACCCATACAGGAATGCAACTCCACAGTACGGGTGGAACAGCTCACCCCTATCCTAAATGCCTGACTCCTAAACAGAATCAGTACAATAATTTCAACTGCTGGAAATCTTTATTATGCTATGACTTAAGCCACTTGCAGTGAAATTCAGGAATCATAGCACTTGATATCTAGCATACATGTCCATTTTTGTAAGTTACATTTGCATATAGAGAGACTAGGTGCACCAGTTAATAAGGCAGATTTTTTTTCAATAGATGGAGTTACACATATGTTGATATATATGCAATTAGATAGGCTATTTTGTTGTATTAACAACCTTCAAAACTTCGTATGTCAATTTTGCTGAAGATGTTAACATCATAGATGTTGTCATACTTAAAAATGTTGAACTTCGTGCCAAAAAAAGAGCACTTGCAGTAAGTTCTAATTCGTTACTTTATTTTGAAGAAAAGTGCTGCTGAATACTCCGGGAAGCTTATGGTGAACTTCTCCATCTCAAGATACTTGTGAACGCTGGTTTAAACACTTTAAAAAGTGATGATTTTGATGTCAAAGACAAAGAATGTCCAGGTCAACCGAAAAAGTTTGAAGACCAACAACTGGGTTAAATTTGCAATTTTTGGATGAAGATGCGTGTCAAACTCCACAACTTGCAAAAAGATTAAATGTTGCTCAGCAAACAATTTCCAATAATTTACAAGCAATGTGAAAGATTTTAAAGGAAGGAAAATGGGTGCCACATCAACTGAATGAAAGATAAATGGAAAACTGAAAAGTCATCAGTAAATATTGCTTCCATGGCATGAAAGTCTTTTTTTGCATCAAACTGTGATTGGCGATGAAAAGTAGATTTATTTTGAGAATCCCAAACACATAAAATCATAGGTTGATCCAGATCAACCATCATCATCAACTGCAAGGCCAAATCGCTTTGGAAAGAAATGCTCTGTGTTTGGTGGGATCAGGAAGGTGTGGTGTATTATGAGCTTCTAAAATCAGGTGAAACTGTTAATACTAATCGCTACCAAAGACAAAAATCAATTTGAACCACGCTTTCATCATGAAATGACCAGAATGTTCCAGAAGACACTGCAAAGTAATTTTGCTTCATGATGACACACCATCACACACTTCAAAACCAGTTAAAGAGACATTAAAAGATCTTGCCTGGGAAGTATTAACCATCCCACTGTATTCACCAGACCTTCCTCCTTCAGGTTACCACTGATTCTGATGGATAGCACACACACTTTCTGAGCAGCACTTCAAAACGTATGAAGAAGTGGAAAACTGGGTCCCTGAATGGTTTTGCTTCAAAACAAGAAAAGTTCTACTGGGATGGTACCCACAAATTGCCTGAAAGATGGGGAAATGTGTAGCTAGCGATGGACATTACTTTGAATAAAGCACTTTTGATGTTTTGCTTGAAATTATCGTGTTTTCTCTGATTACAAAATCTGCATTATTAACGGGTACACCTAGTACATATGCACACATGCTCAGAAGTCAAATCTGAAGGATGACAGACAAAAAAATGCAAACAGGTTTTTTGGGAAAGGTAGGTAGTATTGGGATAATATTCATTTTATTCTCTTTCCAAATTTTAGGTTTTTCTTAATTTGTAAACATGTATTATTTGAACAAAATTTTTTAAAGCAAATGGATTTTTTACTTTTTTAAAAAAGTTTATTGTTGAAAGTATTACTGATGTCCCCTTTTGTTGCAAATAGCTATTTTTTTTAAAGAGCATTTTAAAGCTACTGCTTCTGTCTTCAAATTAAAACTCTGCAAATGTATTGACCCAGAGATGACATTCATCATGACAGGAAATGAAAACTTGTTTTATTATTCATTCAGCAAAACACTCTGTCTGCCCTCAAATGTCTTTAATATTTATTAGTTTGAAAGATCTACAAAAGCTCTTCCAAGATCCCTTATTCCTTTGACAATCAATTCAATAGAAGTCATTTCTGAGCCCAAAGTAGTTAAGCAATAAATGAAAATGAAATATATTTAAAAAGCAAGCACTCTTAGAAATATAAAAGTTTAATGAGAAAAAGAATAACCTATTCTATGTAGTTAGGCCCCTAAAACAAGATCTACTGATAAAATCTACCATGTACTGATAGGCTTTCATGTGCCAAGCAATCTACAGGTATTGTACTGTATTATAAAGTATTTAAAAGATAGTTCTGCAGATGGGTCATTTTAGCTCCATATAAAGAAGAAAAAATGAGTTTCAGTACTTAAAATAACAGCTGATTTCTGAAGAGCCAGGATGAAAACCTGAACTCTTATTTCAAAGCTACTTTACATGTTTTACTTACTTTGCAATCTTGTCCTTGAGAAGTTTCCAGTCCCACAGGTCTGTGGGAGTGACATTCCACATATCGTACTGAAGGACCTAAGGAATAAACAAGTCGACTGATGATAAATCACTATAATTTGAAATATGATGGTTGATCTAGTCATCCTGCCACAACGGTCGCTTACGCTTTTATTATAGAGATTATAACTCTAGGACCATCCCTGTTAAGATTTTATTCTTATTCACAGCTGAGTAATATTCCATTTATATATGTACATCATCTTTACCCATTCCTCTATCCATATCTTGACTATTGTAAATAATGCTGTAATTAACATACAAGTGCATATCTCTTCAAAATTAGTGTTTCCAATTTCTTCATATAAATATCCTAAAGTGGAATTACTGGGTCATATGGCAATTCTATTTTTAATTTTTTGAGGAACCTGCATACTGTTTTCCACAGTGGCTGCACCAATTTACAATCTCAGCAACAGTGCACAAGGATTCCCTTTTCTTCACATTCTCAACAAGCTTGCTGATTATTGATTTACTGATGATAGCTATTCTGACAAGTGTGAGGTAATCTCACTGAAGTTTTAATTTGAATTTCCCTGATTCGTGGTGTTGAGCATCTTTCCATATATGCATTTCACATATCCTTTTTGGAGAAATGTCTGTTCAGGTCCTGTGCCTTTTTCAGTCAGTTTGCTTTTTTGGTATTACATTTTATGAGTACCCTATGTATTTTGGTTATTAACCCCCTATCAGATGTATCATTGGTAAATATCTTCTACTCACTAAATTATCTTTTCATTACAATGATGGTTTCCTTTATTGTGCAAAAGCCTTTTAGTTTGATGTAGTCCCATGTGTTTATATTTTTTCTTGCCTGGAGAAATAATATTTTAAAAAAATATTGCTAAAAGCAATGTCAAAGACTTTACTGCCTGCTTTCTTCCAGTTTTATGGTTTGTCTTATACATTTAAGTATTTAATCCATTTTGTATATGGTGAAAAAAGGTAGTCTAGTTGCACTTTTTAAAATGTATCTCTCCAGTTTTCCCAACATCATAAAGAGATTGTCTTTACATTTGTATATTCTAGCTTCCTTTGTCATAGATACATTGACCACACAGGCATGGGTTTATTTCTGGGCTTTCTATTCAGATCCATTGGTCTATGTCTGTTTTTTTGAGAGTACCATGCTGCTTTGATTATGATAGCCTTGTAGTATAGTTTGCTATCAGGAGCATACCTTTAGCTTTGTTCTTTCTCAAGACGGCTTTGGTTATTCAGAATCTTTGTGGCTCCACGTAAACTTTGGGATTATTTGTTCTACTTCTGTGAAAAAATGTCATTGGCATTTTCAAAGGGATTTCATTGCATCGTAGATCAATTTTTACAATCATTAGTTGATCAGTAAATGAATCAGAAACGTAAGGATCTTATTTCACTGAAATCACATGATTTTAAATCAGAGGAAAGTTGCTGTAGGGAAAACAAACAATAAAAGGACTTTTTAAAAAATGCACTTATTTTTTTTGTTTCATTCAGGCTTAGAGCTTGATTGCTGGCTGATACGAAGTTGGATGCAGATATGATCTGGTTGCTCGAGTTTAATGAGTACATAAACCTCTGATTTCCATTACAGCACCTGAGCTTCCCTGGTGGAAACGTTTTCCAGCTGCTCCTCCGCCTCCTGTCACATGCCGTGGGCCTGTGGCCTCTTGCAAAATGCCACTGATGTCCTGGCCTCACTCAGTAGCAGGTCCGTCAGCACCACTGGACAATCTCTCAGGCACCTCAAGTGCTCCGTGCCTCCATCCCACCACCTGGGACTGCACAACTGGCTTCTGCTGATCAGTGAGGCCTTGGCACAGACCCAGGCTGCTGTGGTCCACCACTCAGTGTCCTCTCTTCACACCTTGTCACAGTCTGTTTATCCTGCAGATTTGTGGTGGAATCCTTAGGGTTTTCTGTATGTAGTATGTCATCTGCAAACAAGTTTTACTTCAATTTGTATGCCTTTTAGTTCTTTTTCTTAAAAAAAAGAAAGAAGTTTCTATTGCTTTTAGAGGGAGAAAAACATTGATCGGCTGCTTCCTGCCTAACCCCTAACCCAGGCATGTGCCCTGACCAGGAATCAAACCTGAGACCTTTTGGTGCATGGGACCACGGAAAAAATGTCCTCAGGTGAGGGCTAACCAAGTGAACCACACCAACCAGGGCCCTTATATTTCTTTTTCTCGTCTCATTATTGTAGTTAAGACTTTCAATACGATGTTAAATTAAAGTGGTCAAAGTATACATTCTTGTTTTGTTCCTGATCTTAAGCAAAGAGCTTTCAGCTTTCTGGAGTTGAGTACATTACTGAAGGATTTATCATAAATGCCCTTTATTATATTAAGGTATGCCCCCACTATCCTCACTTTTTTTCTATCACAAATGGATGCTGCATCCAAATGCTTTTTTGTATATAGTGATATAATCATGATTTTTATCCTTCATTTTGTTTATATATCACATAAATTGATTTACAGATGTTGAACCACCCCTGCATTCTGGTAATAAAACCCTCTTGATCATGGTATGACTTTCAAAATGTATTGCTGAATAGAGTTTGCCAGAGTTTGCTAATATTTTGTTGAAGGTATTTTGTGTCTATGTTCATCAAGAATATTTGCCTATAATAACCTTTTTTTGTTGTGTCTTTATCTAGTTTGGGTTGTAGGGTAATGCTGCTCTCAAAGAATCAACTTGGGAGGATCCCTTCTTTAATTTTTTGGAAGTTTTAAAAAATTGATATTACCTCCATAAAAAAAAATTATTGTTGCCCTGGCCAGTGTTGCTAAGTAGTTAGGGCATTAGCCCACGCACCAAAGGGCTGCAGGTTCGATCCATAGTCAGGGCATGTGTGTGAGAAACAACCAATCGATCTCTCTCTCTCCTACCAACGTGTCTTTTTCCCTCCCTCCCTTCTCTCTCTAAAAATCAATGGAATAACTGTCCGCGGGTAAGGATTAACAACCAAACCAACAACAAAAATTTTATTACTGTACAGTACACATAACATAAAATTTAACATCTTAACCATTTTTTTAGTACGCAGTTCAGCAGTATTAAATACACACACATTGTTGTGCACTATCACCACCATCCATTTCCAGAAATCTTTTCATCCTGCAAAACAAATTCTATATCCATTAAATAACTCCCATTCCCACCCACCAGCTCCTGAGAACCACCATTTTACTGTTTTTCACAAATTTGACTGTTTCAGGTACCTCATGCAAGCGAAATTATATACTACCCGGCTTCTTTCCCTGAGCATAATGTCTTCAAAGTTCACCTATATTGTGGCATGTGTCAGAAAAATCCCTTCTTTAAAAAAAAATTTTACTTTTCCATTACAGTTAACATACAATATTACATTAGTTTCAGATGTACAAAAAGTAATTAGATATTTATATACCTTATAAAGTGATCACCCCAGTAAGTCCAGTAGCCTTCAGACACCATACATGGTTATTACATATTATTGACTATATTCCCTTAGCTGTATTTTATATACTTGTGATTATTTTTCTTACAGGCAATTTGTATTTCTTGATACCTTTTTTAACAATTCCAACTCCCCGCCCCCCTTTCTGACAAACATTAATATGGTCTTTGCATACGCTTGCTTCTGTTTTGTTTGTTCATTTACTGTTTTTTGGATTCTACATATAAGCAAAATTATGTCTCTCACTTTTTTTCACTTAGCATAATATCCTAGAGGATATTACGGTCCATCCATGTTGTCACAAATATAAGATTTTATTCTTATTCATGGCTGAGTAATATTCCATTGTATACATATGCCACATCTTCTTTATCCACTTATCTATAGGTGGGCACTGAGATTGTTTCCATATTTTGACCATTGTAAATAATACTGCAATGAATATAGGGGTACGCATACCTCTTTGAATTAGTCTTGGATTTCTTCAGGTAAATATCTAGAAGTGGAATTATTGAGTCATTTGATAGTTCTATTTTTATTTTGAGGAACCTGTATACTACTGTTTTTGTTTTTTCTTAAAGCAGACCCTTCAGCATTCTTTGTAATTCTAATTTGGTAGTGATGAGCTTCTTTAGCTTTTTCTTGCTTGGGAAACAGTTTATCTTTTCTTTAATTCTAAACGATAGCTTTGCTGGGTAATTTTGGTTGTAGGTCCTTGCTTTTCATCACTTTGAATATTTCCTCTGACTTACAATGTTTCTGTTGAGAAATCAACTGAAAGTCTTATGGGAGCTCCCTTGTAGGCAACTAAACTGCTTTTCTCTTACCACTTTCAAGATTCTTTCTTTGTATTTAACCTTAGCCATTTTATTATGCTGTGTCTTGGTGTGGACCTCTGGTTTCATCTTCTTTAGGACTCTCTGAGCTTTCTGGACTTGTATGTCTATTTCTTTCCCCAGGTTAGGGAAGTTTTTAGTCATTACTGCTTCAAATAGGTTTCCAATTCCTTTATTCTCTCTTTTCCTGGTACCCATATAATGTGAATCTTGGAATACTTGATGTTCTCCCAAAAGTACCTTAAACTATCCTTATTTTTAAATTATTTTCTTTTTGCTGTTCTGTTTGGATTTTTCCCCCCACTACCTAGCCTTCCGGACTGATGATCCAATCCTGATTCATATAATCTGCTGATTCCCTTTAATAAATTCACAATTTCAACTATTGCATTTTTCATTTCTTACTGGTTCTTTTTGTTTTCTCTTCACTGAGTTCAACTATTCTTCCTTAAGTTCATTGGGCATCCTTATAACTAGTGTTTTAAACTCTGTATCTGATAGATTCCTTGTTTCCTTTTTTAGTTTTTTTTTTTTTTTTTTGAGTTTTGTCCCATACTTTGGAGCATGGTCCTTGTATCATTTTGGCTGACTCCCTTTGTTTATATGTGTAAGGTAGAGCTGCTATGTCTCCTGGTATCGACAGAGTGGCTTTATGTAGGTGTTCTGTGGAGCCCAGTGATACAGTCTTCCTGGTCACCTGAGCAAGGTGGGTCAATATGTGGCCTCCTCTTATAGTTGAGCTTCAACTGCTGTTGCCATGTCAGTGGGTGGGGCTGATTCTCATGCTAACTGGCTGTGAGAGCTGGCTGGGACTACAGTAGACAAGCTGTTGTTTGGGGCTGACTCCACAGAGTAGAAGTTGCTTTAGCAGGTCTCTGGTGCCAGCTGAATCTGTCCTTTGGGTGTCTCACTTGTGAAGCTGGTTGGGTGGTGCTCTAGTGTGGTCTGAACTCAGCCATCATGTCTGTTGGTCCTGGAGCCTCTTGAAAGGGGCTCTGTGCAGGCCACAGTCAGCTTTTGCTGGGCTTGGGACCTCTTGGTAAAAGCTCCAAGTGATCTGCAATTGGTTGTCGCTTTCACTGGGTTAGGAGGCACTTGGAAGAGGCTACATTGCAAACGATACTGAATGCTACTTGTGTCACTCTGGGAACCCTTTGGTGGGTGCAATATGAACGGACCACCAGGGGGCAATGCAGAACGAAGGCCCTGCCTGGCAGCCAGGAAAGGAAGGCCACCGCCAGCTGCGGAAAGGCCCCGATCAGCTCTGATCCCTGGCCAGGCCGAGGGACCCTACCCATGCACAACTTTTGTGCACCGGGCCTCCAGTTATATCATAAGCTTGTTTTTTTGAGGGTTACCATTTAGCCTACTATAGGAACTACAGGCAAAAATTTTATCCAACCTGACGAGCATTTTCTGGCCATGCACATGTGCACCACACTTGCAAGCCATGCAGGCTGCAGGAGCACCCATGATGTCCCAGAGGCTCGCAATTTGCTGGCCTGCTTCCTCATGATCAGAGACACCTCAGAGGGTAAGACTCACACAGACAGGACTGTGGGCGGAGAGTGTAGCAGATGGAAGGGGACAACCGACAGAAGGTGAGGCAAACACACAGACCGTGGACAGCAGTGCACAGGGAGGGTGACCCACTGAGTGAAAAACAAAAAAGATGAAAAAGAAAAAATAAATAAATTAAAAAAAGAAAAACAAAAACAAAAAAGATGAAAATTGTACCCATATACTTACTCCTTTGCTGACTGGAGAGCCCTTGTAGGTTTCATATGGGCCATGCTCCTTGGCCAGATCACAGCTGGCTTCCAAGGCTCCATAATAAATGGTTTCAAAGATTTGCTTATTCAATAACTGGGCCTCTGGACTCTCGAAAGGATACCTCATCAGAATAAAAGCATCTGCCAGACCTTGTACCCCAATTCCAATAGGGCGATGACGTTTATTGGATAAGTATGCCTTTGTGCCAATTGGTTTAGAGAAGAAAGAGACATTACTGAACAGAAAAAAGCAACATTCTGTACCTAATGACACACACCCTCTTTTTATGTTTTCTCACACCGTTCCAATGATAACTATTTAAACGATGCCTGGCAAGCAGACTGTGATAAACTCCCTTCACTTTGAATTTCAATAATTATCAATATAAGCAGAGATATCTATTCATACCTCTGGGACAGGGTAGTAGTTAATATCAATAATTTTATTCAAATTTCGGACAATGACTTTGGTGACTTCAGCCAGCTTCTTAAAGTCGTATGTGTGTTCTGGTGTGACGTACATATTCAGGGCCAGGGAAGCCAAGTTACAAACTGCAACCTGGAATGCAAAGAAAGAGTCAAGAATCACAAAATTTTTATTTCCTCTCTGTGTTAACAACACTACCATTAAGCCTCTAACACTTTACTATTAAAATTTTTCATTTTTATCTTTGACTTCTCCCTCTTCATCATTCATCAGTTCATTTCTAAATCCGAGTACTTATTCATGAGTTATAACATGCACCAGTGAATAGGTAAAATAAAGAGAAAATCCTGTGTTCCTTAATACATGGCTCTATTACCACTTATATCACATTGTTTTATAATTTTTTATGTGTATCTGAGTAGATGTGCCCTGTCCAATACAACAGTCACTAACCACATGTTGCTATGTAATCAAAATTAAATGAAATTTAAAATTCAGTTTCTCAGCTGCACTAGTAACATTTTAAATGTGCCACAGCCACCAGATACAGAACATTTCCATCACTGCAAGAAAACTCTTCCAAATTACACATGCCCACCTCACCCTCACTAAGATTCTGACAAACCCTTAACAACAGAGGATCCAAGTTGATGAATTCTGAAAAAACTCTTCAGGTGATTCTCCCACTACACTCACTATACTAGGTAATGACATTTTATAGCTAGGGATCATATCTTATCCTATATTTTTATTTTAAATATATTTTATTGACTTTTTACAGAGAGGAAGGGAGAGAGATAGTTAGAAACATCAATGAGAGAAACATCCATCAGCTGCTTCCTGAACACTTCCCACTGGGGATGTGCCCGCAACCAAGGTTGAAATCGAACCTGGGACCTTTCAGTCCGCAGGCTGATGCTCTATCCAGAGTCAAACTGGCTTTAGCTCATCCTACCATTTTAATGCTATTTTCCTTTCAGAAACCTACACAGGCCTAGGACACATTCCAGCTTTCACCTACTAACTCTTTCCCTCCCTGGCCAAAACCATCTCTACCGATATCAAACTTTAATGTATTTGCTACATCAAAACAAAGTACACACTCATTGCATAAAACCAAACCATATCTCTGATCCGTCATAAAGACTGTTCTTCCCAAATGGAAGCTTTTCCATAATTTTTTTTTTTTAAACGAAATCTATATTCCCTTTCTGGCCTTGTCTCTTCAATGATTTGAGATTAGAATTTTGTCTCACCATCACTGAAAGGATTCTCTACAAGTTTACACACTTTAAACTAAAAGAGCCTCCTAATACACTTTTGTGACTGTCCTAAGCTACCATGATTGTACATTACTATTTCCATCAAGTAAAGATTTTTACAGCAATATGTAAGAAACAGTTGACTGATTTCCACATGGCTTAGACTAAAAGATATTCATTCAAGGGCACAGATCATCACTCTTCTTTCCTGTGTAATTTGCTGTCTATTTTAGTGCCCTTCCACTTACCAATAAGCTACAAAATTTCCTTTCACCCATCTCAAGTGAAATCAAGTGAGGGATTCACAAATAATTAACTTCACTTCCTAAGATTCATCTCTCAGTCGTAGATTTACGCAGAATTTTTTCTACCTACCTCATCTTTGCTGGTATATTCTACTATTTCTGTGCACAGGTTGCTGCATTTGATTGTTCCCAGGTTCTGCTGATTGCTCTTCCGATTACAGGAATCTTTGTACAGCATGTACGGGGTACCTGTCTCTGTCTGAGACTCAATAATCGCATACCAAAGCTGTTGAGCTTTTACAACTTTGCGAACACGACCCTGTTTCTCATAACTGAAAGACAAAGCTAGTATCATTTTAATTGTCCCTAAGAAAACCTTTATTACAGATAATGTGAAGAAAGACACCAAAATATAATATTGTAAGAGCTCAAATTTTCTACTAAACTTAGCTAAAGAAAAAAACCCCACAGGAATATAACATTTTTTTTTAGTCACACTAAAGGTAGTGAACAAAACCAGGCAGTTTTAAATCTCTTCAAAGACAACCCAAACCCACTAAATCAACACCACCTTCCAGAATAAAAGGAACAAAACCTAAAATAGTCAAATTGTGCTAACGTGGTACCATTGTGCTATTGGTTAATGACATGTACTGTCCTGGTTGATTTTGATAATAACCCTGCCAATTCATTGCCTTCATTTTTAAAAGCATCAATTAAAAAACTCAGGCAAATATTAAATGTCCCAAAGTTTAAAAAAAAGAAAACAGAAACCAAAATTTTGGTAAAAATTCAGGAAGTAAAGCCGACCAAAATAAAATTACTAGTCATATTATCTTCTAGATGCTTCTAAATATTCCTAAAAACTGGCTAATGCAAGATGTTGTTTTGAAATGTGGATCCCCAAATAAGAGAAAAACATGTACAACATTATTACTGTCATATTTGCCCCATACCTTTCATATAGCTTCTCAAATTCCTCTCCCCAAACCTCATCCAGACCAGGACACTCATTTGGACACATTAAAGACCAGTCCTACAAAAGGAAGAACAGTACCACACATGAGAAACTTCAAATAAGCAACCATACATAATCCATTAGAAACACTATAATGCATAGGGTGTCTTCCATAGACTGCCTTGGAAATCTGCTATAGAAATAATCACGTTAGGCTCAGGTCCAAATATCTAGTTCTGCCTGTTTGTATACAATTTTAAGCAAATACGTCAGGCAGCATCTACTTTGGAAAACAAAAACCTAGGAAAGCAGGAATGGTACCTTTTAACACGTTCAAAATACCTTCTGTAGCAAAACTCATAGGTAGACTATTCCTAAGCATGATTTAAGATGTTTGAAGAAAAAGCTTATGTGAATCAAGTAATTATTACTCATAGGTATCTATCTCTCACCTGATTAGTCTCCACTCGTTTCATGAAGAGATCTGGAATCCAAAGGGCAAAGAAAAGGTCCCTGGCTCGCTGTTCTTCCTTTCCTGTGTTCTTCTTTAAGTCAAGAAACTCAAAGATGTCTAAATGCCACGGCTCCAGGTAAATAGCAAACGCTCCAGGTCGCTAAGGTAAACAATCATCGATCTTTTCAGAATCAGAATGAAACAAAGAAACCATATTTTCTTTTTTTTGCAGGGCACACATTTCACATTTTATTGCACTTTTCCACGACCACTGGATGGCGGGACCTGGAAGGTGACGCTATGCAGCAAGCCATTCCCCCGGAGGGGCTGCAAGGGGGACCCCGTGACGACGCCCTGGCGGCCACGGGGTGGGTGGGGGGGAGGATCATGGAGGACCGAACCCGCTCTCGGTGCTCTCAGGTCTTGCAGCCCCGTCTCCGCACCGCCTCTCAGATGCTTCTCACAAACAGGAGAGAAACTTCCTATTTTCCAAAGCACTTTTTTATCTTCTGCTGATCGATGACTCTCTCTCATCGATGTTTCTAACTCTCTATCTCTCTCCCTTCCTCTCTGTACAAAAATCAATAAAATAAATTAAAAAAAAAATACAAAGAAGCAAAAAACACTCAACTGGGAAAGAAAAAAGAAGCCAAAAATTTGAAGATAGTGTAAGAAGCTCCTGAGACAACTTCAGCATACCAACATCAGAATTTTGGGGGTGCCAGAAGAGAGAGAGGAAGATATGAAAAACCTATTTGAAGAAATAATGACTGAAAACTTCTCCCACCTGGTGAAAGAAATAGACTTACAAGTCCAGGAAGTGCAGATAACCCCAAACAAAAGAAATCCAAAGAGAACCACACCAAGACACATCATAATTAAAATGTCAAGGGCAAAAGACAAAGAGAGAATATTAAAAGCAGCAAGAGAAAACCAGTTAATTACCTACAAGGGAGCACCCATACAATTGTCGGCTGATTTCTAACAGAAACTATGCAAACTAGAAGGGAGTGGCAAGAAATAGTCAAAGTGATGAATAGCAAGAACCTACAACCAAGATTACTCTACCCAGCAAAGCTATCATTCAGAATTGAAGGGCAGATAAAGAGCTTCACAGATAAGAAAAAGCTAAAGGAGTTCATCACCACCAAACCAGTATTATATGAAATGCTGAAAGGTATTATTTAAGAAGAGGAGGAAGAAGAAAAAGGTAAAGATAAGAATTATGAACAACAAATACATATCTATCAACAAGTGAATCTAAAAATCAAGTGAATAAAAAATCTGATGTACAGAATAAACTGGTAAATATAATAGAATCAGAGGCATAGAATGGGAGTGGATTGATAATTCTCAGGGGGAAAGGGGTGTAGGGGGTATGGGAAAAGACTGGATAAAAATTGTACACCTATGGATGAGGACAGTGGTGGGAGGTAAGGGCAGAGGGTGGGGTGGGAACGGGGTGGAGGGAAGCTATGGGGGGGGGGGGGGGAAGGAGAAACAATTGTACCACTCTGAACAATAAAGAATTATTAAATTAAAATAAAAAAATAATTAATGGGGGAGGGGGGAGAAACTGAATGGTAACCTCACTCATGGTTCATAGGTCAACACCTAACCCAGGCGTCTTCAAACTGCGGCCCGCAGAGGAGTCTGATCCGGCCCGCCAGGTTTTTTGGACAGTGAGCGCAGCCGAGGTGTTACAGTAGGAATTAGTAGTTCATATAGTCCAGCCCTCCAGCTCTCTGAGGGACCGTGATCTGGCCCCCACTTTAAAAAGTTTGAGGACGCCTGAACCACTGAGCCATGCCAGCTGGGCCAGAGTTTTGTTTCTTTAAAGAAAAACTTAGACGACATATGACAACTCCTTTTCATGATTAAGTATTAATATAAGTCACCACTTTAGCACCTGTCTGCAAATAAACTGTCATGTAAAAAAGCTGCTGACTAGATCATTGGCTGTCTGCAGGCAGTATGTATGGGCAGGAAGGATGGGGGTGATTAATATAAAGGTGCAGGAGGAAAAATTTGAGGGTAATGCCTATATTATGGTAATTACATAGTCAAAATCCACCAAAATGTAGATTTCAAGTGTGTGCACTTTAAAGTAAATCATACTCATTAAGCTGATATTAAAACTTTAAAAAAGGCAGTTTTTAGAAACACACAATGAATCATCTTATAAGCATACATAGCTAATAGTTTTTAGTTGATTTCCAGTACTTTCAAATGACAGAGCATACCTTGTTCCCTCCTTGATCTACATATCGAGCTGTGTTGTTATAGACTCTCAGCATTGGTACAAGGCCATTGGAATTGCCGTTGGTCTGAAAGAGAGACTGAGAATAAAGGCATCCGGAGGAGAAACAGGGGGCTCAGCAAGAAAAATAACAAAATGGTTAAAGAATGAAAAATTTCCCAGCCTATGAAGTTTTACCTGCTCTCCGAGATTTTACCACTGCCTTGTAAATACAATGCCCAATAAAATCAACAAACTGTTGTTGAATAAATGATAATTATATTCAAAGTTATTTCATAGTATCTCTAATTTACAATGAGACGTAATAAATACAAGTCAAAAGAATCCAATATCAGGATACATTCCACACCTTCTAAAGATGTATTCCCAAAAGAATTCAAGGCAACTTAAAATAAGAAGTATATGCAATGGGCAAATCAAGACAGCTAAATAGAGATTCTCAGCAATAAGTAGATTCTGGAATGAAGATAAGAAAATGTAAACTCCTAAGACTAGAATAAACCTCATCAAATTTCAAAAATAATCCTTCTAACCCATGGTAAGCCTTTGAACAGTCTAGAAAGATAAAAGAGCAATGGCTCACCCTACCATTAGGTAAAAGCACTGTGTGTGTGTCGCAGCACCTCCCCAACACCACACAATGGAGTGGTTTCCTTCTGAGCTCTGTATCTTTATTCTATAGAATTAGGTATTTTTTCCACATTACAAATGAAGAAACAAACACAAAGATATGAAATAACTTGTGTTAGGTACTACTAGTAAGTAGTGGAAATGGGATTTAAATCTGAGTCTTACTTAAAATCATTATCCTGACTCCCAAGAAAAGATGAGGCAGCAGTGCTCGAATTTACATCACAGGATGTCAATGTTTAAAACTTAATACTGGTTCTATCACATATGGAGCGACTAACCTCTTGAAGTAAGTTAACTTTCTAAGCCTCAGCTTCTTTACTTGTATAGTGAATAGTGCCTGCAGGGCCTTCACTCACAAAGTTAGTGTAAGGCATCAAGTTCCTACCATGTGTCTGTAATGTTATCTATGGTTGTAGTAAGAATTAAATGAGTAGTTCATGTAAAACTTTGATAACAGATTTAGTACACAGTAAGCAAGCAATAAATGATAGCTGCCATTATTATAAAACTAAAGGCCTGATGCACAAATTTGTGCACGGGTGGGATCCCTCGGTCTGGCCAGCAATTGAGGCCTATTGGGTGGCCGGCTGATTGGGGGGAAGGACCATGGAAGGTTGGCTGGCCAGGCATTATGGGGACCTCTGTAGGGGGTTGGCTGTGAGAGCACACTGACCACCAGGAGGCAACTCCTGTGTTGAGCATCTGTCTCCTGATGGTCAGTGCGCATCATAGTGACTGGTTGACAGTCGTTCTGTGCACGAATTTGTGCACTGAGCCTCTAAAAGATAAAAATTCAGGGACTGTCACAACCAAAACAACCGGACAGATGACCGAACAGCAGGCTGTGTGGGGTGACTAGGCTGGCAGGGGAGGCAGTTGGGGGTGACGAGGCCGGCAGGGGAGGCAGTTGGGGGCGACCAGGCCTGCATGGGGGCAGTAAGGGGATACCAGGCCAAGGGGTCCCGATTGGAGAGGGTGCATGCTGGACTGAGTGGACCCATCTGTGCATGAATTTTGTGCACCGCGTCTCTAGTATATATAAACTAAGACTTCTAAAATATAAAATAAATCAAAATCTGAGATAAAAAGGATCACCTAATCTAAACCTTTAATAAGACATATGAAAATGAAATAACAAGCAATGAAATGACTCACTCCAGGTCACATAACCAGCCAGTAACTAACAGATTTAGGTTTCCCAAGCTCCAGCATATGCCCTCTCAACCATAAACTTGGTTGCTTATGGACTTGAATTCCTCTAGTTTACACATTTTTAATCATACAACAGAAGCTTACCCCAGCAATGTAGCTGCCAGTAGCTCGAATACAACTTACAGCAACACCAATTCCCCCAGCAGACTTGGAAATCAAGGCACACTGCTTTAGTGTATCATAAATGCCTTCAATACTATCATCTTTCATACTCAGAAGGAAACAGCTATGGGGGAAAGAAGTCACAACTTATGAAGGAAATGAAACAAAGCAGAGTCACAGAAATAACTGTACAATTTAAAGGCAATTAAGTTAGGCAAATAAAAGATTTGAAGTTTACAGAATTACTAAGTGTTTTTAGAAGAAAAAATATATACTGTTACTAGCTATGACATAGTAAGACATATCAACATATCATATTGTTTTAAAATCACCTTGCTTCCAACCCTAGATGCTAAGCCTAGAAGGAAGTCTTAGAGATAAGTTTAAAATATTAACTTAGGGACTCTTGCCCCCTCCCCACATGGAGTCTGTACTTGTTCTTCAATATATCTTCACCTTTGTATAAAAAAACAAATAAATAAAAATAGAAAATAAAATATTAGCTTACATGTTCACCAGATTGCAAATGTGCCATTATCACATTTTCTCATGCAAATCCTAAACATTCATAACAGACTTTTCAACCTATTACTAAGCCAAGAAAAATTAAACATTTATTTAAAAAAAAGAAACATCTATGCAATGGTCAACCAATTCTGTGATATGCCACCAAAATTCAGTTCCGTCTTTTCTAAGACAACCTCTCTACCTGTGCTTTCAATCTTCAGCCTATTCCCTGCCTCAGGGGCCATACTTTACCAATGATCTTTTCACTACCTTGAATATTCAACCAATCAAATGTATTCTATCCACCGACTTCTTCTCCTGAATATTTAGACATTCAGAAAGACAGAGAATAATATACTTTATACTTATTACCATCTATCTCAATTAATTATAAAGTGTAATTATAATCCCATTAGAGGCCCAGTGCGCACAAAATCATGCATAGTTAGGGTCCCTAGGCCTAGCCTGGCCCCTGTCGTTGGCCTTTGCCACCCTGCGACAGACACTGTGAAGCTCCCACCCTGGCACACTCACATGCCTGTGGCTCCTCCACTGCTCTGGGAAACTCCCCCCCCCCTCCCCGTGACTCCTCTGCAAGACTCCCCTTGCCCCACCTCTGCTCTGCAAGGATCCTCCTGCCCCTCGACTACTCCATGAAACTCCCTCCTCCGCCCTTCGAATTCTTTGCAAAATTCCACCTGCCCTGCAACTGCTCCATGAGGCTTCCCCCACCCCCTTGACTGCTCCTCTAAGCCTGCTGCTGCCCCAAGAAGCTTGCCACTGGACGCTCTGCGAAACTCACCTGCCCGCCACTGCTCCACAAGGCTCCCTCACCCCGCAAAACTCCCCCACCATGCGAATGCTCTACCAAACTCGCTGCTAATTATATTTTAAGAAATATATTTTAAGAAATCCTTCACGTCTTGTATGCATGCATATAAGCATAACCAATGGACGAAAAACTCTGGGGAGCGAGGGCATGTATGGAAATGGGGGTGGTAAGGTATGTACACATATAATAACTTAATAAAAAAAATGAGAAAAAAAAAGAAAAAGAAAAAGAAATCCTTCACTACTGTGAGGTCATATATATTCTATCAAAATATAGGTTGAAGCATTAAGGGTCATGATGTCTACAATTCATTTTCAAATGACTCAGCCAAAAAACATTTTAAAATAAATAAAAAAAAATATATATGTATGTACACACACACACACACACACACACATATATATAAAATATCAGTAATCTTTAGATCTAAGCAGAGGTGGATGTATGGGTGATGTTCATTGTCCATTTCTTTAAACTTACCCGAAATGTTTGAAATTCATAGTAAAAAGCTGAAGAGGAAAACAGATATTTTCTCTATATGCTCTTCTAAAAGATTTTACTTTCACATTTAGATTATTTTTTCTTGAATTTATTTCTGTATATAGCATGTAAAAGAACTCTTAATTATAATTTCCCCCATAGGATAACCAATTTCCCTAGCATTATTTTGCTAATGAAAAGCAAAGACACCTCAGTTATTCATGTTCCTACATAATCCTGAATCTATTTCTGTGCTCTTTATTATGCTTCAGTGGTTTTTTGTCTACCCCAGAATAAATACCACTGAGCCAATCCACCTAGGACCCGCCTGGATAATTTAGATTAACCTTCTCATGTCAAGATCTTTCTTAATTTTATCTGCAAATACTATTTTTCCTTATAAGGTAATATTTACAGGTTCCAGAGATCAGGGCCTGATACCTTTGAGCAATCTACTAGATTATTCTTAGTCTTTTGCTCCTCCATATAAATTTTAGAATTGTCATGTTGAAATTTTGAGTGGAATTATACTGAATCTATAGATTAAATTGGGAAAACGGACATCTTTGCAATATTAAATTTATTTTTTAAATATAAAATCACACCTTATTTTTTAATGTCCAACTATGTTTGAAAATTTTCTCAAGAGCCTTCTCTTTTATTAGCTTTGTTCCTGAGTAACCTTCCAGTATTATAATCTATTTTAAAACTTAAATCTTCTAACATCTAAAGTATAGATATTTAATTAATTTATATTGAATAAAGCCAAATCTTCTGCTGAAATTTCTAACAGACCTGTTTTTAGTGGATATTTTTAACCAAATTAAAAAAGTTATTTTCTGTATTGATTTTGCTAATTTTTATTATGAAAGAGTATTAAATGGTACAAAATATTAGTACAATGGAGAATATTAATATTCTTTTTGATAGCATATCCTTGAATTCCTAGAATAAATCAGCTTGCTAAGAGTATTTTATTTATTTGTATGCTTTGTCTTTTACATATTATTGGACTCTGTTCCAGTGTTCCCTTTTCAAAAAATAGCATCATCGTTCATCTTCTTACTTTACCTATACATAAATTCAGGAACCATCCGTGGCTCATCATATCCAAACCATCATCAAATTCTGTCAATTTTACCTCCAAAATATCTTTTGAATCTATTTCTTTCAATCTCTACTTTCACCTCCTAATCCAAACTACCATAATCTCTAGTACAGACTACTATAAACATCCCTTAATTAGCTGGCAGTATTATATAACACACACCAGAGGCCCAATGCATGAGAATTCGTGCAAGAGTAGGCCTTCCTTCCCCTGGCTGCTGGCACCAGCTTCCCTCTGGCACCTGGGACCCGGGCTTCCCTCGGAACCCCAGCTCTGTCTGGAAGGTCATCTGGAAGGATGTTGGGTCTAATTAGCATATTATGCTTTAATTATATATATATGTGTGTGTGTGTGTGTGTGTGTGTGTGTGTGTTTTGTTGATTTCAGAGAGGAAGGGAAAGGGAAATAGAAATATCAATGACGAGAGAGAATCATTGATCAGCTGCCTCTGCACATCCTACACTAGAGATCGAACTCTCAGCCCGAGCATGTGTCCTAACCTGCAATCAAATCACAACCTCCACTGAGGTCAACACTCAACCACTGAGCAACACTGGCCAGGCAGTATTTACTTTTTTCAAAACCAGTATTTACTTTTTATATGACTTGAGATATAAATTCACATGCCATAATATTCCCCATTTAATATGTATAAGTAACAGCTTTTGGTACATTCACAGAATGAGCAACCATCACTGGAATTAAGCTTAAAATTCATTATCAGCATTTGTCCCCCTCGAATTCATTTTCCACACTAAAGAGATGTTTCTAGATGCAAGTCTCATTTAATCAGAGCATAAGTGATTTAAATGTTCATTAAGTTAATTTTCCTGTGATCAACTGCCTAGTTTTTCAGGCCAACGTTTATTTCCCTAGTCAAAACAATTTCAGATTTTTTAAACTGACTATAGATAATGCATACCTAGAAAGTTGTGGGCGGTTGGTACCAGCATTGAAGAGTGTGGGGGAGGCATGGGTAAACCACCTCTCAGAAAGAAGGTTGTATGTTTCAATAGCAGCATCGATATCTTCTTTGTGAATCCCCACAGATACCCTCATCAACATATGTTGTGGTCTTTCAGCCACTAAAATCAAAAGAGGAATTTTCACATGATGGAACATGTCAGACAAACTAGGCTAGACAGGTACCTGAGTCAAAAAGAAAATGATTTTTAAAAGCAGGACAATTTTTCATAAACTAGACCTAAAGTTAAAACTGTTAGAAATATTAAGGCTATTAGCTCAAAGCTCTATATTCAGTATAAGGCACAGAAAATAAAGCACACTCACACACATGTTCATTCTCACCTTTTCCATTGATCTTCAACAAGTAGGACCGCTCTAGCGTCTAAAAAAAAGCAAAGTAACCAAAAAGAATTCCAGAACATCTCGTAAAGACACAGTAGATATAGCATTCACAATGAGCCAATCTATTTAAATCTTGGCTATTTGTTTTGGAACAGACTGCATGAAAATTTCTTGAGAAAGTTAGCTCTATATTAATATACATAATAACACTAATAGCAGAAGTTACAGTATTCACCATCATCACAATGGTTGATTGGTATAAAGTACTTGTAATAGGCTAGGCATTGATCTAAGCAACACACTCACTTATCCTCAACAGAATTTGTTATTAATATTATATTATAAAGATGGAAATCACAGTGCAATGCCAGAATTATAAAGGTTGAATGACTGAAAATCATAATTTTTGCAAAAGAGAGTCACTGTGTCTGGAGAGTACAAAGCGAGATAGAGAATGGCTGGAGATGAAATGTTAATTAGAACATTTTCCGGTCTAATTAGCCTATTACCCATGGTGGCGAGGACAGGCAGTTAGGGGCAATCAGGCCAGCAGGGGAGCAGCTAGGAGGCAGCCAGGCCGGCAGGGGGACAGTTAGGGGATAGCCAGGCCGGCAGAGGGACAGTTAGGGAGTAACTAGGCTAGCAAGCAGAGGCAGTCAGGGGCGATCAGGCAGGCAGGCGAGCGGTTAGGAGCCAGCAGTCCCAGACTGCGAGAGGGATATCCTGGATTGGAGAGGGTGCAGACCAGGCTGAGGCATCCCGCCTCCCATGCATGATTTTCATGCTCCAGGCCTCTAGTTAAGCTTAATAAAAGATTCTGAAGGAAGAAAATTATACTATCCCCGTTCTAAAGATGAGAAAACTAAGTATAGAGATTAAGTAATTTGCTAATAAGAAGGATAGCAGCCAAAACCGGTTTGGCTCAGTGGATAGAGTGTTGGCCTGCGGACGAAAGGTCCCAGGTTTGATTCCGGGCAAGGGCATGTACCTTGGTTACGGGCACATCCCCAGTAGGGGGTATGCAGGAGGCAGCTGGTCTGTTTCTCTCTCATCGATGTTTCTAACTATCCCTCTCTCTTCCTCTGTAAAAAATCAATTAAAAAAAAAAAGGAAAGCAGAGGTGGCAGTGGAGGAATTGAGCTCCCCCACAAAAAAAGAGAGAAAAACGCACAGACATGGACAACAGTGTGGTGACTGCCGGGGGGAAGGGGGAGGAGGGGAGGTGGAGAAGGGTATAGGGGGATAAATGGTGATGGAGAGAAACTTGACTTGAGGTGGTAAACACACAATACAATGTATAGATGATGTGTTGTGGAATTGTACACATGAAACCTGTATAATTGTGTTAAGCAGTAATAAATTAAATTTTAAAACAGGAAAGAGAAGAACAAAGTAGAGCCAAGATTCAAACCCAGAAGGTCTAACACCAACATTCAGGTTCTCAATTACAGTTTATCAACACAAAAGTACCTAGAGCACTTGGCACATAGTAGGGATTCAATAGTTGTTGCATAAACAGTAAAACAAAATGGAATCATTATTGCAAATTATCTGCATAACTACTCAGGTGATCCAGAAGTAATATTTGGAAACTCTGAAAATTGCAAATGAATAAGCTACATTTTCGTACTTCAAACAACCACTATCCATCTATCCCACTAATTCCCTAGGTCCATCCCAACTCCCATTGACTTACTGCCTTTATAATTGTGTCACTAAACATAAACAAAAACCTGTATTTCCTGACATAAGGAGGAATTCCCACGTATTTGAAACCCATTATTTACCTTAAAGCCAAAGTAATTATAAGAGAAATCTCGGTCATAGATAATGGCAGAATTCAGGCGCTGATGAAGGTAAAAAAAAGAACCCATAATTAAAATAATTAAACTATTTTCACAAAATCAACAGTTCAGCCCTGACTCCAGAATTTAAAATGACATAGGATAAAAAAGAGGTACCACTAAGTATTATTGTTATAGAACAAAAATACACATCTAATGTTACATTTTAAAAATTTATATAAATTGAGTATCTAATTAGGCTTAAAAACATATACTCAAGTAGATCACTTTTAAGTTGTTGAGCAAGATCTTTCAAATTTTTACCTGAGCAATCTTATTAGGAATTAGTTTGGCAATGTCCCCTAATATTTTGAATGCACACACTCTTTGTCCCAGCAATTCCACTTAAAGGATTTATCTTACCAATATACTCTATAAGTAATACACTATCATACAAGGATATCCACTTCAGCAAAAAATGGAAAACAAATATTCACTGCTAGAGCTAAATATATATGTGTGTGTGTGTATAATGACATTTCTATAAAATAGAATGCTATGCAGCTGTTGAAAAGAATAGTCATAAATACTAATAGACTATCTATAAGATAAAGTATCAGTAAGAACAATGTGCACAGACTGCCACTAAATGAAAAATTTATGTGTACGCACATGTGTATTACAGAATAGCCCTGGAAAAATACATTTTAAAGTTATAAAATGTTATTTCTAAAGAGGAAAGCTAGTGTTACTTTTTTAATCTATGTTTTATTGTGTTTACATTTTTAAAACGTGCTGTTGCTTTAAAAAAAAAAAAAAAATAATCTATGCCCTAGCCAGTTTTTCTGTGGATAGAGCATCGGCCTGTGGACCAAAGATTTGATTCTTGTCAAGGGCACATGCCTGTGTTGTGGGCTTGATCCCTAGTGGGGAACATGCAGAAGGCAGCCGATCAATTATTCTCATCATTGATGTTTCTATCTCTCTTTCCTTCTCCCTTCCTTTCTGAAACCAGTAAAAATATATTTAAAAAAAATTTTTTTTTTTTCACCAGGAAAGCATTACACATACATCTTTATTTGCCAAAACAATATCCAGTGTTGACTGGGCCACCATAGGAGAGTGTTTGCCATTATGTGGATTTATGTAGTTGTGGAGGTCTTCCATCACATCTAAAACAAACAAACAAAAACAGAAAATAAAAATGTCAAAACCACTTAATGGAGAGCTAATTCAATCTTTCAGTAATAGTTTAAAAGAATAGTTCTCAAACCATTTTTTTCATCCCAGTCCACCTCAATGCTTAGCATAGGAAAGTGCTCAATAAACATAATCATGCTGATTATATACTGAGTGGCCAAATCATTATTATCTCTGAACACATAATAATCTGGCCACTCAGTGTATATCCTATACAATAAAAGGCTAATATGCAAATTGTCCCCTCAACCATGAGTTCAACCAGCAGGCAGGCCGGAAAACCACCCATGTCCCCTCCCCATGGCCAGGCTCGCTGGACCTCACCCATGCACAAATTCATGCTCTGGGCCTCTAATACACACACACATACACATACACACACACACACAGTGGCCAGATTATTATGCGTTCAGAGATCATAAAAATCTGGCCATTCAATGTATAATGCCTCAGTTATGAAAATACGCTTCCAGAGTTAAAGTGAACATAGGCTTTTTTGTTGTTGTTGTTAAATAAAAACAGGAGTGAGGATATTTTTCCATTTATTTATTTATTTTTTAGAAAGAGTGGAAGATAGGATGGAGAGGAAAAAGAGGGGAAAGAAAAGAAGAGAGAGAAACATGGATGTGAGAGAGACACAGCCATTGGTTGCCTCCCACATATGCCCTTGACCAGGAATTGAGCCCTGGACTCTCTGGTGCACAGGCCAATGCTCCAACCACTGAGCAACACCAGCAGGGCTGAACATAGGCTCTTGAAAAAAAAAATTCCCAGGTGATTAATACATAATCTCATTGAGAATTACTAGTTGAAAAAATTTTTAAAAAGCAGAAATTATAATCTCTTCTCAAATTTTTTACCCTAATAAAATTCCAACTTAAAATTCAGAATCTATCATACTAGGCAGTTCACATCTGTAAATGCACATTTAGTAAGCTCTCTCATTTGCTCTTCTTTAATACATCATAGCATTAATTGGCTCTCTGTATTTGTGTGTAAAATACACACACACTCACAATGTTGGCATTTTTATTGGAATTGACTTGTATGTATCAATATAATTCTGGGAGAACTGATATGTTTACAATAAATCTACTAAAGAGGGAGAATACACTGTTTGAGGCCCAGCACAATAGATCTCAAATCAAGAGCCAAAGATTTCTGTCATTGTCTTACCATCTGGCTTCTTATATACCAACATTATATTCCAAACAAATTATTAACCTTCCCTTGCCCACATTCCCTGAGCTATAAAATGGCAGCAATGGAATAAAGGATTTGCTAATGGGACACAAGATTAATTGCACCATTTTGTTTAACCCAGAACTTGTCAATATATGTTATTCATCTTTCCAAGCACATCACCACCAACTACTTCAAAATGGGCTTTTAAAAAGAAAGAAAAAGTGATAGGAGAAAACAAAAAGATCCACTGACCTTTCCATTCAGCAAGTTAGCAGCATGGGGAAATGGGAAGTTCTAGTGCCCCCTCTGCCTCTAACTTGCTTTTTAAAGACAAGATGTAACTTTTCTTTTTCTTTTCTTTATTTTTAAAAAAATATTTTGATTTTTTACAGAGAGGAAGGGAAAGGGATAAAGAGTTAGAAACATCGATGAGAAAGAAATATCCATCAGCTGCCTCCTGCACACTCCCCACTGGGAATGTGCCCACAACCAAGGTACATGTCCCCGACCGGAATTGAATCTGAGACCCTTGAGTCCGCAGGCCGATACTCTATCCACTGAGCCAAACTGGCCAGGGAAAGATGTAACTTTTCTTTTGTCATTGTAGTACCCTTATACATTTTCTAGGAATATTAAATTATTTCTAACTTTTCCTCTAGACTCACCACTGAATACTTTCTTTGTTTCTTTGTGCAAGTTAGAGACAGCAATCCTTGCTGCCAGAATGGCATAGTCAGGGTGCTTAGTAGTCAAGGTTGCAGCTGTTTCAGCAGCCAAAGTATCCAGTTCCACAGTAGTGACCCCGCTGTATAAACCCTGGATTACTTTCATGGTGATCTGCGCCTATAAAAACAAAACCAAGAATTATTTGAGCTTCCCCCCCCCAAAAAAAAACAAGCTTCCTTAGGATGGCAATGAAGAAAACAATCAAATGTACATCAAAATAAAAGTCAACTTCCTTTAAAAAAAAAAAAAATAGAATGGTTAGCAGTGGAAAACTTCATAATGAGAATTCATAAACCAACAGAACTGCCAGAAAATGCATACTACATACACAATGAAAAGATATCACTAAAAAAAAAAAAATTTTTTTTAAATCCCTAAGTATAGGTATTTCATGGTTGACAAAGATGAATAGCCTCACAGGGAAATAGCTAAAAACAGAGCAGTGATTCTTTTTAATTTTTTCTTCTCTTTAAATATATTTTTATTGATTTCAGAGAGGAAGGGAGATAAAAACATCAATGGGGAAAGAGAATCATTGATGGGCTGCCTCCAGCACACTCACTACTGGGGATCAAGCCCTCAACCAGACATGTGCCCAGATCAGAAATCTGTGACCTCCTGGTGCATGGGGTGCCACCCAACCAACCGAGCCACACCAGCCCAGTGATTAAGTATTTCCCCATTTTTAATTCAAATTCTCCCTACGTAATCAGGGTTCCAACTACATTCTTACCCATTTCCCCCTAAAATCTACCTACACACAAGTACAGGAAAGTAAATGAATCAAACTTTAATCATCCCAATTAGAGATGAAGGTATAAATCAGGATTGGGGCTGAGTCATCAATAATTTAACGGATACTCTTCCTTTAGCACTTCACAAATTACAAAGTGTCTCAATTTTCATAATCTCTGACATTTCATCATCACCTTGTGAAATGGATACCGTTACATGAGAAACCTGAGTTCAGGTTACTTGGACTTGCCCAAGGTAACCATCTAAATCTTCTTTCTCTTGCCAAAACCGGTTTGGCTCAGTGGATAGAGCATCGGCCTGCAGACTGAAAGGTCCCGGGTTCGATTCCGGTCAAGGGCATGTACCAGTAGGGGGTGTGCAAGAGGCAGCTGACTGATGATTCTCTCTCATCGATGTTTCTAGCTCTCTATCCCTCTCTCTTCCTCTCTGTGAAAAATTAATAAAATATATTAAAAAAATAAAAAATAGCCGAAACCGGTTTGGCTCAATGGATAGAGCGTCAGCTTGGGGACAGAAAGGTCCCGGGTTCGATTCCGGTCAAGGGCATGTACCTTGGTTGCGGGCATATCCCCAGTAGGGGGTGTGCAAGAGGCAGCTGATCAATGACTCTCTCTCATCCATGTTTCTAACTCTCTATCTCTCTCCCTTCCTCTCTGTACAAAATCAATAAAATATATTTTAAAAAAATAATAAAAAAAATAAAAATAAATAAAAAATAAAAAATAAATCTTCTTTCTCATCCCATTTCAGTTTTCAAGACCATATTGTAAGAGGATCCCCTTTCAAAAATACAGTGTAGCCCAACCAGCAGTGGCTCAGTGGTTGAGCATCAACTTATGAACCAGGAGGTCACCGTTAGGTTCCCGGTCAGGGCACATGCCCAGGTCACGGGCTCAATCTCCAGTGCAGAAGGCAGCCGATCGATGCTTCTCTCTCATCACTGATGTTTCTATCTCTCTTTCCCTTTCCCTTCCTCTCTGAAATCAATAACACACACATATATATATATATATGTATGTGGATACATACATATATAAAAATGCACAAGTTATTACCACACATTATTAAGAAAACAAACACTAAATTATGGATATGTGGTCATTAAATATTTCTGTAAAAAAGCTTAATCTGCCGAAGCCGGTTTGGCTCAGCGGTAGAGCGTCGGTCTGCGGACTGAGGGGTCCCGGGTTCGATTCCGGTCGGGGGCATGTGCATTGGCTGCGGGCACATCCCCAGTATGTGCAGGAGGCGGCTGGTCGATGTTTCTCTCTCATCGACGTTTCTGGCTCTCTATCTCTCTCCCTCCCTCTCTGTAAAAAATCAATAAAGTATATATATATTTAAAAAAAAAAAAAAAAAAAAAAAAAGCTTAATCTAACAGAAAATATATTGCCCAGCTGATTAAAACATGACGCCCTCAAAAAAAGTATGTGTCATTATTAGCTTTGGCCATCACCACATTGTCTGTGTCTAATTATCGTCCAGAATTCCTAAAAATAAAATACAATTTGTAATAAAAACATTTTAAAGTTGTATAAAATTATTTTCTTTTGACCATTTTGGTCAGTTCACTATCAAGTGTCTAATTATAGCTGTGCCACACACTGTGGATATCACAAGAATAAGATACAGCCCACCCTCAATTCTAAGGGAGGAGCGAGGCATGTAATTAATTTCCATATTACGTGGTCAATGCAATCGGGCCAGCACAAGTGTCCTAGAAGTAGAGATAATATACCTAAATAAGGCTGAGGCAACATGAGTGGGTTTGGAAAAAGGTGTTTTCAAGACTCCATTTCGGGAAGATGATGTTGGAAGCCGTGGGGAAGATGCATTTGAAGGGGCAGGATCAGAGGAAGACCAGGAGGATACTTTAGAGACCACTAGGACAGCAGTCTAGGTGAGGGGTGATGAGGGTCCAGAGTAGAAGAGTTATAGGAGGCAAGAAAAGAAGAATGGCTTGCTTATGAATAGCTTGTTTTCCTTAATTTAAATGTTACCCATGAAATCTACTTTATATTACTTAAATGCATTCTTTCTACATAGGTAACAAAAAAAGCAAATTTCAAACCAGTTTCTACCCAAATGGTCACAATTCCAGAACAAGCTTTATTACAGGCTTTCCTCCCCCTTCTTATAAATAAAACAACTGACTCAAGGATGTCTCTAACAAAATGTCAATGTCAAGTTTTCCTCTGTTCACTTTTCAGTTTTCTGAAAAGAATTCAGAGCCCAGAACCAAAATTTACACACAAATAATTTGAGCAATGTGTTCACACTGAAACCCAAAACCATAAGCAGAATGCCAAACCAAAATATATACGAAGTGAAAGAAAGGCCAGGCACAAGAAACAAGTATAAAGAATCACAGGAAGCAAGGAACCCAAGATATAAACGATATTTACTTACAGGATCAACGAAGTCCATATTGAGTCCATAACAAAGTTTCTGGATTCGAGATGTAATTTTGTCAAACATGACCCGTTCTTGGCGGCCATCTGAAGAAACCACACAATCCATGTTAGCACTTACTAAGATAACAATGTAAGAGAATCAAATGTAATCAATACATAAACTTTTAAAACTGACCATCACAGAATGCTATTAAAAGATTCAGCCCCCTAGTAGATTCATCAAGATATTATTTTTGTATCTTCAAAGAGTAGGGATTCTATTCTGAAAATATTCTCTTCCCTTTCATTATAAATCAGGTGGATTCTTAAAATAACTTCCCAAATGACTGATCAGTTTCTCCCCTTGTCCTATAGATGGCAGACAGAATCATTCTTTAAAACTTACATCAGCCGGCACCGGTTTGGCTCAGTGGATAGAGCGTCGGCCTGCGGACTGAAAGGTCCCAGGTTCGATTCCAGTCAAGGGCATGTACCTTGGTTGCAGGCACATCCCCAGTAGTGGGTGTGCAAGAGGCAGCTGGTCGATGATTCTCTCTCATCGACGTTTCCAACTCTCTATCCCTCTCTCTTCCTCTCTGTGAAAAATCAATAAAATATATTAAAAAATAAAAAAAAATAAAAAAAATAAAACTTACATCAAAAAGAGGGGGGGAAAAAAAAGCCAAAACCGGTTTGGCTCAGTGGATAGAGCGTCAGCCTGCGGACTGGGAGGTCCCAGGTTCGATTCCGGTCAAGGGCAGGTACCTTGGTTGCTGGCACATCCCCAGTAGATGTGCAAGAGGCAGCTGATAGAGATTCTCTCTCATCGATGTTTCTAGCTCTCTATCCCTTTCTGTAAAAAATCAATAAAATAATTTTTTTTAAAAAGAGAGAAAAAACAAACAAACACATTACATCAAAGTCATGTCATTACACCCTCCAAATTCCCAATAGTGGTTCATCATCTCCTTCAGAATCAAAGTAAAAATTATTACAATAATTCAGATTCCTAAACCTGCCCTATATACCTTTTCCTCAACTTCACCTCCTACTCTCCCACCTTCCTCACTTTACACTGGCCTCACTGCTATTTCTACTGATGTCAGGTCTTTGCTCAATGTAAGCTTCTCAAGGAGGTTTTCCCTGATAACCCTATTTTAAATTTTATTACCCCAAACAGAGCCTTATCCTCCTCCTCCTTCTATGCTTTATTTTTCTCCATAACTCTTATCACATACTCTACATTTTACAAATGCCTAAAACCAGATATTACCAAGCCCTACTATATATAGGGTATCCCCCATAAATGTACACACTTCAACAGCTGGTTTTTATTACATTTTGAAAATGAAGTGTATTTTAATAAAACTGCCTTTGTAATTAAAGTGTTTACATTTTTGGGGTACTGCCTGTATGTTTTTTTTCCTCTACATACTCACCTTTCTCCTCAACCAACTTCTTTTAACGCTGCAGGAAATGTGGCAGCAGCAGCTTATCAGCAAATGCAGCCTTTCGGATAATTTTTATATTTTTCCGTCCAAACATATCCTTACATTTACGTAACGATCCATTAATTGCCATAAAGGGTGTGGTGTCATAAAGATCTCGTATAAGCTTGATGATTTCTGGAGCAACATGCTGACATCAATCAGAACGCCGTCTTCCTTCCACAAATGTAACGCCTTTTCCATAAGCAGTTATCACATACGGTTATGCTAACTTTCGCAATTTTTCCAATTTCGTGGATAGAAGATTCCTTCTTACTATAGCTCTGAGCAATCGCAATATACGTTTTCCTTTCCTTTAAGTTGAGAACACGTTCGCTTTGACATATGTGACTCACAGCATAAATCTTTTTTAAAAATTGTTTTATTGTTTGTTTGTTTTTTAGAGAGAGGAAGGGAGAGGGAGGTAGTTAGAAACATCTACGAGAGAGAAACATCTACGAGAGAGAAACATCCATCAGCTGCCTCCTGCACGCCCCCCACTGGGGATGTGCCCGAAACCAAGGCACATGCCCTTGACCGGAATCGAACCTGGGACCTTTCAGTCTACTGAGCCAAACCGGTTTCATATCTATAAGTCATGTCCCATGTAGGAAGAAATGTTAGGCACATTCTTACCCTTCATTACTTGGGTTTCTTGTCCCTCCCTGGAATGTTAGATACATCCTTTTACTTCATGAGATTTTTCTGTTATTTTCATTATAGGTTTCATGATCAATGGCCTTTTCAGTAAACTGCCTCACCCACTTCCCGGTGGAATGCCTACCCCGGGCCTACAGGTTACTCTGACTGACCTTTACAAGAGACATAAATATCCCATTCCCCCTCCTCTGCTCTGCTGATGCATTTTGGCCTCAGCCCTTCCACTCACAGATGCAACAATAAGTTTATAAATTCTTTACCACTTTTGGCCTCGAATGTTCCTCCTTCAGCAACACTAAAAGAGAAAGTTTTTCTTTTCTTTTTCCTAGGAGCCTTAGGCCACATTTGAGCAACAAGAGCACTAATACAGAGGTCTTTTTCTTCTTTTTAGCTATTTACGGCGTAACAATTTATTTTAGAGAAGGAGAGGAGGAAAGGGAGAACTATTGATCCGTTGCTTACCCTATGCACCGCAAACCCACTACCTGAATATGTGCCCTGACAGGAAATCAAACCCATGCTCCAACCCAGCCTCAAAAGAAAGGAAGACTTTACTATCATGTTTAAGGACAAACATCTTCTGTAGTTCTTGAGGTTTCTCCTATGAAGTTTCATTCACCTTAATGATCTCAGAACGTTGAGCAACCATTATCAGAGCGCTTACGTCTTTATAACATCAAGCTACGCAAAACAAAGTGTTATCACAGCAAAAATTCCTGTAATAGACAAAATGCTAAGTCAAATTTGCAGATGAGACCAGAAACAGGAGGCAATACCTGAGGACAGTCAGCTTAAGATATTAAAGAATCATGAATTGTCAGTGAGCTCTGTATTTCATCATTTGTCTTGTGTCCAGACTTTATATAATTCCATCTTTACTTCACCGGAGGGGTTTTATTAAGTACAATAAGATATTAACAGTGCAAAACCCACCAGTTGCCCTCCTGAATAATTACATTGAAATTGACAAAACTACAGGAGTCAGTCCACTATTCCACTGACATACCAAAAATAAAAAGCACATTAAAACTTGAACGTAAATAAAATAAATCTAAGTACAATTTTTGTATATTAACGAGCCCTGCTGAATGCTACACTGAAAGATTCTACCAAACCATCTGGATCAAATTATGTTCTTGATTAGCTAGGATATAATCAAGAGTAATTCTATTGTCTAAAATAACTGTACAAGGGAATTTAAAGATTTTTTCTGTTTTGGCAATAGCCCCAGCAATTTCACTTCAAGTTGTTAACTGTCTATGTATTTATTTACTGTAAACAAAGGAAAAAGTTTTCCAAATCTGGTATCTTTACTGAGGTAGAAAGAGCCGGGTATTAAACATCCTTGACTGTAACCAGTTGTACATTTTGACCTGTGAAGGTTTAAAGAAGATGCCCAATACTGAATAATCTTCCTAGACAGAAATTAAGGCAAAAAGGAATTATTATAGTGAGTATTTGGCCTCTGATATTACTTGTGAGACAGAAGAAATTGAAGGAAAGGAACAGAAGGAAAAATTTGTGAGGTAAGAGGGAACTGAAATAAAGGAACTAGGGGGGGAAAAAGGAAAAATGAACATGTAGACCATATAGGGCTGGTTAAGTATCTTGGGTTAGTTGTACACAACAGATGTAGTCTGCTTCACATTCTAGAAATTTTGGTAGAGAAGTAGAGTTAGGTATAAAACAACTTTCTTTAAATTGAAGTCATGAATTGAATATCTTTGAAAGCAGAAACTATGCCTGCCTACTTACCACTGTAACCTCAGTGTCAGAACAATATCCACAGATTTATAAAATAATACAGTGGATTGTAAAGGAGATGAGGGAGGGAAGGGGGATAAAGAACCTGGAATAGAAGAAAAATTATCAGAGTGCAAATGGGTGCTTTAGAAGGTGTTATTTTGCAAACCTTTGTTTCAGTTTTATATACACATGCATGTGTTTACTAAGTCATCATGTAGAATGTAATTTTTACCATGAGTAATTTTTACCAAAGTTTTGAAAACACTATACTACTAAATTCCAAAGCACACTTTACAACTAAATCAGCTTCATGGCATTGATTCCAGTTTTCAACCTGACCTCCCTAGGCAATATATTCTCCCCACAAGAAAAATAGCTTGAGAGCAGATGAAAAAAACTCATCTACTGAGCCATTCAGATATCTAACAACCAGAGGCCCAGTGCACGAAATTCATTCACTGGTAGGTACCTAGCTGCTGCCAGCTGGCTAGGGACTCCCCCCCCCCCCCCCCCCCACGGCCACCTGCCAGCACCAGGGCCTCGCTCCTGCTCCCTTCCCCTGGCCATTCCTCCCTCTTGTCAAACTCTGGGGACAATTTGCATACTACTTTATTACATTATATTGCTTCTATTATATAGGATTTTCATATGGATTATTCCTATGTTCCTGACAACCCTAATATCTCTGAAGGTGGAATTGCCTTCCCCTCTAAATTTCCCTCAAAGTGCTTAGCAATATATTACATTAGCTCATTCAACAAGTACTTACAGCTTGACAACCAGTTGCCCTCCTGAATAATTACACTGAAATTGACAAAACTACAGGAGTTAGTCCACTACTACACTGACATACCAAAAATAAAAAGCACATTAAAACTTGAACGTAAATAAAATAAACAAATCTAAGTACAATTTTGTACATTAACAAGACTTGCTCAATGCTACACTGAAAGATTCTACCAAACCATCTGGATCAAATTATGTTCTCTGAAGGAATGAGAAACAAAATAAGCCCTGTCTTTTAGAGCTTGTGTAGGGGAGCACTTTGTAAACTCCAGTATTTGAAAGTGCACCCCCCAAATTAAAAATTCAATACAAAGGTGTTACCCATGCAGTAATCTACATCACAAGTTTTCCATTCATCTGTTACAGATTTATCATTAAGAGCATACTCCTTCCATACCTTTTTCTATAGGTCTAAAAAACATGCGTGAGGTCTTTTGGTCTCATCAGCTAAAATGGGAGACTAGGGAAATTCAGAGAAGGTTCTAAAGATTCTAAAAACAGGATGAAGGGCCACCACTGTCCACCTCTCAATCTCTTAACTATAGTTAAACCAAATCAATTACCTGCTTACAACTGCATTCATTAAATCCTATATTTTCCTTTTTAAAAATCTTCATTCAAAGTTGGTCCGAAGGTTGTGGGTTATTGTTAAGCTGATTAAAAATCTTCATTCAAGGATGTTTTTATTGATATTAGAGAGAAAGGGGGGGAGTAGGAAAAGGGGGGAGGGAAATGGGGAAGGGAAGAGTGAGAAAGGGGAGAAAGGAGGAGGGGGAGGGAGAGGTTGGAGAAGGAAAGGGAGAGAGAAGCATCCATCAGTTGCCTACCGTAAGTGCCTTAGCAGGAATTGAACCTGCAGCCTTCTGATGTATTGGACAATGCTCCAACGGGGCCACCCCATCACCAGGGCTTCATATATATTTATATATTTTTAAAATATATATTTTTATTTATTTCAGAGAGAAAGGGAGAGGGAGATATAAACATCAATGAGAAAGAATCGACTGGCTGCCTCTTGCACGACCTCTGGTCAGGGGCAGAGCCCACAACCAGGGCATACGCCCTGGCCCTGGCCCTGGCCGGGAATAGAACCCTTGACCTCTTGGTTCACAGGTCCACGCTCAACCACTGAGCCAAGCCAGCGGGGCATGCATCCTATATTTTAAGATAATTATTCTCCCCACTGGCCCATGCGGCTTGATTGGTTGAGGCACGGAGAGGCACCAGTTGGATTCCCAGTCAGGGTACAAGGCGGGGTTACCGGCTGAGTCCAATAAGGGATGTGCAAGAGGCATCCAATTGATGTTTCTCTCTCTCCCTTCTTTTCTCTCTAAAAAAAATAAAATCCATAAAATAAAATGCATTCTCATTCAATCTTTGAGCATTTCTTCATGGCAGGTCCAGTGCTAGTGTGGGCATAAAGTCCCATCTTTGAAACTCATAACCTAGTGGATAAAACAAACATCCAGTCAGCCAGCTAGTATTTACGGAGCGCCTACTATTGTAAAAGGACTTTTAGCATCGGTCGATTCACCTCAACACTTGTTCCTATCTGTCTGCTATGGTTCTCTGTGAAAAGTACATTTTGCTCTTGTTTTCCCCAACCTGAAATTTAACAAACCCCTTCCCAAAGCAGGGACGTCTCTCAGGGTCCCGCAGCCAAGCAGCAGGCAGGCCCAGGCGCAGCAGCGCGTCCGACGGGAAGCGGCTGTGGAGGAGGAACAGTCTCTCCCGGGCTCCCAGGCCCCCTAATCTGGTTCAGTTTCTCATGGGGGGAAGGACAGCTGGTCACCACCCCAAAGTCCTCTGAGGCTAACCGTGGCCCAAATGGCACCACCCCATCCAAATCCAGGGGTCTGTCTGTCTGAGATCCGGTTCAGTTCACGGCATCCGCGTCCTCCCTCACCTTTTCTTATAGGTCCGGGAGCTCATAGGTGCCCTCGCCGGGTACAAAGTCCCGCCCCGCCCCCGTCTCCCCACCCCTCCGTATCCCCACCCCCCACGGCCTAGGACCACCCACTGTTTTCAAATAAAAGTCCGGTTCCAACCTTGGCCTCACCATCAACTAAATGGGAGGCTTTGCATCCGTCACCGGACTCCTTTCTCTCTCTGCTTCAGTTTCTTTTTTCTTTTCTTTTTTTAAATATATTTTATTGATTTTTCACGGAGAGGAAAGGAGGGGAGTTAGAAACATCAATGAGAGAGAAACATCCATCAGCTGCCTCCTACACCCCCCCGCACTGGGAATGTGCCATCAACCAAGGTCCATGCCCTTGACCAGAATCGAACCTGGGACCTTTCAGTCCGCAGGCCTGCGCTCTATCCACTGGGCTAAAGCGGTTTCGGCAGGTTCTTCCTCTACAAAATGGAGCTGATAATCCCCGCAGGAGCTCGCGGGGAGGAAAATGCTGCCTGGAAAATGCTAGGCGCGCACAGGAACCCCTCGGTAGAGGTGAAGGGGTTCCTCTTTTGAAACGCGGCTGGGTGACCGCGCGGGCGGGGCAGGGCGGGAAGCCGCGGAGACGGGCGGGCGCGGCCAACTGCCCTCTCCGGCCCCTCACCTCGCTTGATCACATGCATCGCAGCTGGTGGCAGAGGCGCTGTGGGTCCGGAAGGTGGCGAAGTGCGAAGAGTCGACCTCCAGGAGCTGCACAAGTGCCGCGAGTGGAGTGGGTCCCCGGAGCGCTTTTCCTCCGCAGAGCACTTCCCGCTGCCGAGACGAGACAATCCGAATCTCCTTCCCGCCACCCGTGACGCAAAAGCGACGCTACGCGGCTCGACCGACGCTTCTACGCTGCCGCGCCCGACGAGGGCAGGACTAGCCTTACACAAAGTCAGCCTTTCCCATTAGCCGCAATGTTGAAAGTGGGCGGGGCCCACAAACGGCTGCTGTAGGACACGCCCGGCGGGAACGCGGCTCTCCGGCCACATGGTAAGTATGGGCGGAGTCCAGCCGACCGCACTGCTCCTGCAGCTGCTTCGGGTGTGGAGTCCACAATGATCTCTCGCCGTCATGTTGGGTGTGGGCAAAGCCTTAGCCGAGCTGACGCCTCGCCGCCATGTTGGGTGTGGGCAAAGCCTCAGCCGAGCCTGGGAGGGGACCCGGCCCTCCGCTCTCCTCGTCAAGGCGTCCCCCGCAGAAGTCAAGACAGTTCAAGTATTTGGAAATAATCAAAAACACTTTTTCTTATCTTGACTATACTATTTTGGTTACACGAGACGGCCGGCTGATAGCTATAGCCCGGGATCCGTAAGCCGGAGGGACCCGGGCTGTTAGGCCAGCAGAAAGCCCCCGCGCTGCTCCGTCTGGTTGGAAAAGAGCCTTGCTAGGCGAGCGTTTTGCCCTGACGTTTTGAGAAAGGACAAGATTCATTTGCTTTTAGAGTTCTTCAGGGGACAGTGGTGGAGACCGGGCCAGCCATAACGTCCTTGTGGGGGTAGAATAGGCATGGCTTGGTGGCTGATGCAGAAGCTGGTGATTGGGGCGACACAAACTGATTTTTATGAAAACTCATGTGGCGTTCCCTCCCTAAAATCTTGCATTGACTTTGGTAGGGGCAGAAATAGAATAGTGGGGTCTGGCTGCAACCACAGGAAATATTAATCGTGCTCTGTTAACTGTGACTGTTCAGTTCGGATTAGAGAAAGCACATTCTAACCTGGCTGACCGGGGAGCTAACAGTCGGAATGCAGTCCATCCTCCTTTCCTGAGTGCTGCCTATCATGGAAAGATTTACCACCTCAGATAGTCCGGAGGCACCCACCCTTTGCACACCCCCATTTGTCAGTAATTGTCAGTATTGTCAGTAATCTGATCCCAGAAGTGCCTGGAGGCACCAGCCCTGATGGCCGGTAATCTGTAAAGATGATTACCTTCCTACTTTCCCATGCCTGAAATTCTTTCTTACTTTCCCCCCCCTTAACCTTTGTTCTTCTACCCAATATAAGCAGCTGGGAGGGGCAGAGCAGATTTTTGTGGATGACCTGCTGCTCTCCCGCACTGCCGGCATTATTGAAATAAATGCTCATATATGATTCAACCCTGTCCCTGCTTAAGTAGTGACGGGCAGCCCAGACCCATTGGTTGTCTTTGTGTGTGTTTTTAAATGTACTATTTATAGTCTTATAGTAATAATTCTTTGGCAGTATCCTCCAAGTGCATCCCAATCTCCCTACAAAATAAATTTTTAATGTGAATACTATTTTTTTCAGTTACAGTTTATATTCAATATTGCTTTGCATTAGTTTCAGGTTTACAGCATAGTAGTTAGATAATCACATACTTTAGGTGATCCTCATGATATTTCCAGTACCATCTGGCACCATACACAGTTTTTACAATACTAGAGGCTCAGTGCATGAAACAGCTGCCAGCCAGGGCATTCAGTCCACACCGCACGCTGGTGGTCAGTGCACGTCCTTGCAAGAGATTGAACTCTTGGAGGGACACTTTGCATATTAGGCTTTTATATAGAGAGATTAGTGACTATTTCTTTTGCTGTATTTTACATCCCCATGACTTTTGTAGCTACCAATTGTACTTCTTAATCCCTTCACTTTTTTCACTCAATCTCCCAAGCCCCCTTCCCTCTGGAAACCATCAGTCTGTTCTCTGTATCAATAAATCTGTTTTGGCCGAGACCGGTTTGGCTCAGTGGATAGAGCATCAGCCTGTGGACTGAAAGGTCCTAGGTTCGATTCCAGTCAAGGACGTGTACCTTGGTTGCGGACACATCCCCAGTAGGAGGTGTGCAGGAGGTAGCTGATCAATGACTCTCTCTCATCAATGTTTCTAACTCTCTATCCCTCTCTTCCTCTCTGTAAAAAAAATCAATAAAATATATTTAAAAAAATAAAAAATAAATCTGTTTTGTTTGTACTGTTCTTTAGATTCCACATATAAGTGCAATATGGTATTTATCTATGACTAACTTATTTCACTTAGCATAATACTCTCTGGATCATCCATGCTGTTGCAAATGGTAAGCTTTCTTTTTTTGTAGCTGAATAATATTCCATTGTATATATGCACCACTACTTTTTTTTTACTTGTCTAATGATAAGACACTTGAGTGGCTTCCATATTTTGGCTATAGTAAATAACACTGCAATAACACTGAGCATAGGTAGGGATGCATATATTCTTTTGAATTAGTGTTTTAGGTTTCTTTATATATATATATATATATATATATACACACACACACACACTCTGAGAAGTGGAATCTCTGGGTCATAAGGCAGTTTCACTTTTAATTTTTTGAGGACCCTCCATACTGTTTCCCCACCAACTGTGCACAAGGGTTCCCTTTTCTCTACATCCTTGCCAACACTTGTTTGTTTATCTGTGAAATAATTCTAAATCATTGGTCACAGGTTAGGTGGGGTCAAGATGGCCCAGAGAGCTGTGTGTGTGTGTGATTTTTTTTTTTTTTTTTTTTTTTTTTTTTTTACGGTGGCTGGCTGTCTAAAGTATTTTTTACAATATGTTTAATAATCAGTGCTTTAAAAGCAGTGGTTTCCTACAAAGTGGATATTAAGGTCTAAGCCTGGAGTGTGAAGTGAGTGAAGTCTGGGGAGCTCCGGGCAGCTCGTGGACACACAGGCTGGTGGCAGGAGCCAGGCCGCCCTCAGGAGACAGGACCCACTGCGGCTGTGCGGCCTGCCTTTTCATTTCAGTTCATTTCTAATGGGATACAGTACTTTTTAAATAAGGAGCCATATTTTTAAGTTTGAGAAACGAATGTGATTTCTAATTGTATCAGACACTGTTTTAAAGCTATAACAAAGTTTAAAAATTTCTACATTTTGTTTTTCATTTATTTTTATTTTTTTATTTTTTAAATCTATTTTATTGATTTCTTACAGAGAGGAAGGGAGAGAGATAGAGAGCTAGAAACGTCGATGAGAAACATCGACCAGCTGCCTCTTGCACAACCCCTACTGGGGCTGTGCCCGCAACTAAGGTACATGCCCTTGACCAGAATCGAACCCGGGACCTTTTAGTCCAGAGACCGACGCTCTTCCACTGAGCCAAACCGATTTTGGCTGTTTTTCATTTATTATAACTGTTCTTTTATCTATTAAATTGTATGTGGATGTGGAAGTTCTGTTTCTCCTCTTAGCATTTGTTTCTATAACCAGAAATAAAGTTATAAAGAAATGAAGAAAAAAAAAGATGGGGTTGCCAGATTTAGCAAATAAAAATCATGTGTACCAAATGTTGCATGGGACATAATTATACTCAAATCATCATGCTTATCTGAAATTCAAATTTAACTGGGTGTCCTGTATTTCATCTGGTAATTCTACCCAGAGACCTTTTGGGTCTGTGTATTAGTTTCATTTTCTCTTGACAGAGCAGAAATAGTCTCTTCTTCATCAAGAGCACAGACAACATCATAAGAGTCAAAGCCAGCAGAGGTTAAAATCTCCTACATGCTTTATTGGACTTCAAAGAGTCTTATGAAATAACACAGAAAAACCCATGTGAGGGTGTCCAGGGGGTACAAGGCAGTCTGCAGCCTACCCCCCTCCTAAGACCAGCCCCAGGTGCCCTCACCCCAGGCCCAAAATAGGATCCCAGAGTAAAGGCATGTCAAGGAGTGAGGCATAGGGAAAATATCTTTATAGCCATAGCAAAAATAGGTGGGGAAGAGAGTTGTATAGAGGGTGGGGAAGGGTGAGAGGAAGTGGTTAGTAGCCACCTTCACCTACACCATCTTCCTTAGCCACACCCTTCCCTAAATCTGCTGTGTCCTTTCTGAGCCTTTGGCCCAGGGTATGCAGTAACGTGAAAATGGTGCTGATAAGGGGAGTGTGTGGTGCAGGCACTTGGGAAATTCAGGATTTTTCTTCTTTTAAATTTTAAACTGTCTTTTGGTTCAAATGTAACATCCTGCCCAACAGCTCCAGGGCCCCATTAGAGACCTGTGTCATGGCTGCGGCTCCCATGGCCAGGGGAGCCATGTGCTGATTGCCAGGAGTCTGATGCTTGGGGAGCATTTGGGCAGCACCTTACAGACAAACCCTCCTACAGTGTGGGGGAGCAGGGATAAGAGAAAGGCAGGTATGGATGAGAGAAGAGAGGAAAGGTGACTGCCTTGTGGCCCGCAACTCCAGCATCTACTCCTCCAACTAAGCAGTCTCTCCCAATCTACCCCTTAGCGTGGCCTCTCGTTATAATTCTCTAGCGGCTTGTTCTCTGGGAATTGGTTTCAGTCCCCCATGGACTCCGGGAAGCCTGAGTGAGCACCAGGCCATGATTTCCTCTGGCTCACCACATTCCCAAAAAACAAACCTCAAATAGTAGGCCTTAGGGCCCAGTTGGGGGCAGAGAGAACCATCGTAGGTGGGGTGGAATAAATCTGAGGCACAGGTGTCAGAAGTTACCCCTCCTATCTTCCCTCATAGCTGCTAGGGGAAGTTGGGGAGTGGTGGGAGGGAAGGGACTGAAAGCAGGAGACAGAGAAAAACAAGAAACCAAACCTCAAAACTGGGATAGCAGAGACAGAAGCTGGACCTCAGAGGTGGAGCTGGTAGCTGAGGGGACAGCAACTAAGACATGCACTGAAGTGGAGAGGGAGTGATAGCAGCAGCCCATAGTTGGAGGGAGGCAGGGCAGGCAGGCCATGGTGGTCAGTTAATAAATAATGTTGAAGGACCCAAGGATGAGGGGGGCAGGTATCTACAGTGCCCAGGCCCCTGCCAATCCCTCCCCGCCCCACTTTAGGGGCCAGTATCTTGGAAGGCAG